ATATTGATGAGAAAAGTCAATTTTGAAAGCATGTATATTAGATTTATATATATTCCCAAACTAATCAATAATATTAGTATAAAAAATACTCTATTTGAAAAATATGGTACCATTGCTTGTTTTTTTAAACATAATTCTAATTATTTTATTTGAAGGAAAAAAAAAAAAAAACAACAACAACAAATGTTCTGTGTTTTGTGTACATATGCAACTCCTATAAAATTAATTTTAATAAATTTTTATTATATAAAGAAAAAGTAAATAAAACACACGTATTTCATATTTTCCTTTCTTAGCAAATATTTTTATTCCTAAACTATACATGCTTGGTTTTCATTCACATGCCTCGTATTTATTACAATTACTTCTTCTTTTTTCACTTCTTACTTTTAATTATTTTTAAATCTTGAGAAAAAAATGTATGCAAAACACTTCAAGCATTTTAGATCAAACATTTATGTTTGGAATCATAACAATCTTATTTAAAAATTATAAGAATTCATCATATAAACTATATTTATTTATTTATTTAATAAAATAAAATAATCATGTTTATAAAAATTTATTTCAAAATCTAGACATAGAAAAAAATTAATCATATTTACAAATAAATAAAATTTAATAAAAAGGAAAAAGAAAAAATCAATTGGATGAGGATTTCTAAATAAATGGCAAATTGAAGGAATAAATTTTAAACAATGAGAGTAATATAATTTGAAATATATGTTAAGTATATAATAAAAAATCATATAAGCTTATATATATTCTGAAATATCAAAATCCAATAACTCAAACACAAAGCATGCTCAAAATATGATTGATAGTACAATTCAATATCAAACAAACATTGACAAAAATTATATGAATAACCAAATATCGGTCTAAAGTAAAGTAGCATTTAAATCCATAAATACATATCAAACTAAGTAAAACACTTATTCTAACATATACTCAAATCTCTTTCGGATTATATCAAATCATTTCAAATACTCATGAGGTCCGTTCCCATCTAAGTTCTAAGTAATGTGATTAAATCACGGATAAATCGATGATGCATGGCGTAAATATCAAAGGAATTTAAAAGCATAACATACTATATAATATCCATTCACAATACAAATGAATAATCGAACAGAATCAAGGTTGTTGAGATGGAGTCACTCGCTCCGAAGAATCTAATAACAAAAGATGACGAAATAACCATCAATATCACATATAGAAGAATAATTCAAAACAAATGAATTATTCTAGAAATAAGGACACAAGATTATATATAAGAATGGAATTGACCCGAAAGATTTACTTTGATAACTTTTCTAAACTCTTACTCTCTCAACCGATTTTAAATAATTACCTAACTATATATCATCATCAATCCTCAATTTAACAAACCTTTCTATATATCATATTTTTTTTCAAATTCAATTCAAATCTTTAAACAATCAATTCTCAATTAAATCATCAATTCCATTAATTAATACTTTTTTTCCTCCAAAAAACTCAAAAAATAATTTTGAGTTCTTCAAAATCTAAGCACAAAATCAAATGGAAAAAAAAAAAAGACCCAAAAGAATAATAATAAAGTTGGACTTGCACGTGTCAGATCTGCACTCTTGGGTTAGCCTTTTTTTTTTTAAAAAAAAAGTAAAATGATGGTAGATGTATCACTTGCGCAAGTTTTAGCTAATAAATTGGGACACCACATTATTTTTGCTTCAAAATCATTAAAAAAATTAGCTAAAAAAAACCCTATTTGGAATCAAAACTATTTTTACCATCATTTTTCCTCCAAAACATCACAAAATCACTAAAATTAGCTCAAAAAATCTTTTTGAAACCCAAACTCATTTAAATGCACTTAAAAAAAAACTCAAAAATTCAAAATGTGAAAAATGGAACCTCGATCTCTTCCTTTCGACTATTTTATGTTTTAGGATTTTTATAAACAAACTCACCTCTTCAATATAAACAAAACGAAGCCAAAATCAATGGTCAAAAGAACTAGAATGGCGTTGCTGTGGGTTTCTCTTTCTTTTTGTCTTTCTCTACATCCAAGAACAAAATTGCTATATAAATAGAGTTAGGAATCAAAATAAAATTAGGGATCGAAGTAAAAAATAAAAATTCAAAACGTCAAAAGAACCAGAATGTTTTTAAAAAATCAGGGATCGAAGTACAAAAGTTATCAAAATTTACCTATCAACTGCCTTAGTAAAGGATAAAAACCAATGATTAACAAAATTAAGGACCAAATCGCAATGTATTTCAACTGCATTATCCTGTTCTCGTCTGCATTGAACAGATTTATAATACTTTAAAGAAATTGTTATAACTAATTATCACAAAAAATGACTTCTTATTAAACATTCAATCTTACTTTCAAATTAGTAGCATCAGCTTGCAGCCATTTCGAATTTCGAATTTTTCTTTTTCTTTTTTCTTTTTTGAATCCATTTGGGATTAATTCAGCTAGCAAGGAGAGTTGAGATTTTAGAGATTAGAAATCTAAGCATCATGCTGTAAACCGTATAAAAATTAAATAAAACAATTTCTTTGAAGGTCAGTCAGATGTTTCCGTTAAAGTTTGCTTGAGAGAATCACGAGAGCTCTAAAAGAGATATTTAAAATTGATTCCCCCTCCCTTCATTTTGGCTTTTTGATAAGGCACATACAGGATGGTTCTCTTCCTTAACCCTTTTCATAATGGTGAAATCTCATATTTACATCAGTTTAATATGGAGTTTCTATGCTGCAGACCATAAGAAGAAATTGTAAAATTAATTGCTAAACGTAAAAATTTTGTAAACTTCATTTTGACCCTATAGTTTCGTCAATTTTCCACTTCACCTATAGTTCGAAATTTCCCAATTCACTCTTCTACTTTCCAAGAAGTTCAAATGTTACCCCTAACCATTAAGGAGACTATTTTCGCGTTTTAACTTTTTGAGTTTTAAGTATCAGTGAAAATAATAATAATAATAAATAAATAATGTGTATTAGAGGTTGTAGCAGCCATAAAATGCAAGTAGAGAAAAAAGCAAAGGAAGTAGGGAAGGGGTAGGTTCCAACCGCCTAAATGCTTCATCCATTTAATTCCCAACTTAAAACGGGGCCAAAATTAAATCACGCAGAACCCCAATAGCACTAACCTTACTCTAAACATTAGGCATTAAAGGCATATAATGGACCATGTTAAGTATGGCGATTGGCCAACAATGACTTAACAGAACCGAAAACTAAACAAATCACCACTATTTTATCTCAAAACACTGATTCAGCTTCATTTGTAATCAAATTACAATTGGATTCTATTGATATTGCACATCGGCTGCTTCTTAACCAATGACCTTTTGGCACGAGTTAGCATTAAGCTTTCGAGGCAAATTAAAAAACAGCGAGAGACACAGAGATGGAGAAAGTATAGAGGTGTAAGCTGATAAAAAAGAAGTATTATTGATGCTCTATAACTATTTCATATTAGAACCCAGTCATGGGAACAAGAATATAGAGGCATATACCTCATCGCATAAACTAAATATGGTATGATAAGAAGCAAGCATGTGGCAGAAAAGTCCGACCAATAAACTACACCTTCCCAATAGAGTATACAAAGCAAACCGATCATAAAAAAATATCACCTGAAAAGGAGAATAAATTCTGTTAATTACAATCCGGTAAAGATGCTAGTTGACGAAAGATGTAAAGCATGATCTCCAAACCTAGAAAGCTATATTCCGAATGCAGACACTGACAACTTGACAAACTTTTGTTGCAGTATCCCCCCTTTGATTAAGCTTATCATTTACTACTCTATGGAATATCTTGAAGTAAGCAATCATTCACTGCTCGTACACACTATCTTCATTGATGTAAATATGGATAATGTAAAAATAGTTTGGGGACATTGTGAACAACTGGGAGAGAACCAACTTGGTTTAAGGATCTCAATTCCCAACCAAGTCTCCAAATCTGCTAATGTTTCACACAATACTTACCAACTTCAGATTTGCAGGTGATTTTCAAGCATTTTAAGGTGCATACATGACGCTAAAACATCAGGCAGTTAGTATGAACAGGTCTAAATTAGAAAAGTATTACCTTGATAGATATGAGATTTGATATATCTGTGCTGGTACAATGGAGAAACCTAAACAGCAACCTGCAAACACCACAAGTATAATCGATGAGGGGGTCTATGTTCAGATAATATAATCCACAACATGATCTCCATTTTATTCCTTTTGGTTTGTTTAAAACTAAAGACTTGGCAAAAGTGTTATCAAAAGTCAAATATTGCAGAGACATGTCAATATAAGTTTCCTTTTTGGAACTCCCATATTATGCAGCAGTTACCTGTCATAAGCAATCTAGTTTATTAAGCAGAATTTCCACAAAAAGATCATCAATAATATAGCAGCCCTTATTAAATTTCCATATGATTCCTAAGCATTGTTTTTTCCATGTTCCAATTGTCCTCAATTCTTGATACCTTCTCCATAAAACCTGAGTTGATAAGTTCTCCACTTACCAGAATTACCTTTTTGTTATGTTCAAGGAAAGTTTCTGTTATTAGTGGGCAATATGCATCGGAAAATGAAAGTACTTGCATATATCCTATGGCGAAGTTCAGGATCACAAACATGCACTTTTTGTTTTATATACTAGGATGGTAAATCCCATGCCTTCACATCCTGTCTCGTCAAATAAAGGTCATAACTCAGTATTCATCTCACTTAAGCATGCCTGGAGGGTTCAAAACGGTGCTATAATGGTAAGCGTTGCTGCATCAAGATGGTCTTTCCAAGACTCAAACTTGCACAGCAAATGCTCCTTCTAAGTTCTATGCATTGTCAGACACACATCTTTTAAACATAATCCTGCCTGCATTCAGTACCCAGGAAATGCAGGTCATCAGATGGCAACCATAGATCCTATCAAGAAACTAAAACTTTGCAGAACTTCTTGAAGTAAGCATTATAAGCTGATTTTTTCACAAGAGGTTATTTCCCAAATATAGGCTGAATTCGAGCTCGACATCCTCTCCAGTCAAGATAAAGATCAGAAATCTTTGTCTCATCACTTATAAACAATCAAGTGCTACAATCATATCACAAAATGCATGGAGAAAAGGTAAGGTAACACAATAATATACATCACATTCTGCATCAAAAGAAGACAGAGCTTGATTCAGCACACAGTTCTGACTGTATTCGCAACATAACGATGAATTTTCTCAAGATTTCACTTTCCATATATAACAGAATGCCTACAAGATAGCACAGCACCCGTATATAACGGAATGCCTAAAAATAGCACAGCTATGGTGCTTTACCTTTTCCTCTTTTGGGGTAAAGAATGTTTTAACTGTCTCAAAAACCTCTTCAACAGGCTTTGCAGCATCAACCTAGAGCCCAATGAAAAGAAATCTAATGGTTAAAGTAATCAAGCAATATGTATTTCAATATAGAAACAACTGCATAAACATATTACCTTTCGAACTTTCCCCTTGGAGTCATAGTACTCAACCACAGGAAGACTAGACTCTAGAAAAACTTTAAACCGCTTCCTTATTGTCTCAATGTTATCATCTTCTCTTCCCTTAATAAATGAGAATAAATGAGGAATAGAGAAACATTAGCACAATAGATGAGAAAAAATGAACCAAGAAAAAAAATAAGAATATGACCTCCTTGAGATATATGTTATTTCCATGAATATTCATATTATGAGAGAGTGGTCACATTAATCCAACCTGGTTCCTGGTCAAAATACGCCTCTCCATCTCCTCTTCAGGACAATCAAAGAACAGGACAAATGCCGGCTCAATTTTGGTCTGGATAACAACCACAATTCAGCAGTTAAAGAATGAACTTCAAATTTATCTTAAGGAGACATGCCCTCAAATCCTATATTATGCTAAGAACGCTATTCAAATCAAGTGGAAATCTTAAGCATGCATACAGATAACGGAAATAACTTTATGGAAAAAAGAGTTTCATAAGATTGGGACCTATGAAGTTTACCAATCCCTTCTCCCTCTTGACCACTAAAGCTACAGTCTAAAGGCATAATATTGGTACAGAGAATTTTGTGAAAACTTACAACAGCTTCAAAAGCAGCTCGGTTTTCCTCATTGCGAGGAAAGCCGTCAATCAGAAATTTGTCATTTCCACTATCCTGAATTGCTTTTTGGAGGAGCTTTATAGTTACCTCTGAGGGCACTATCTTGCCCTCCTTAATCATGTTCTGAATCATGGTTCTGGAGATCACAAGGAAAAAGATTACCAAGTGTTCACTGATAAGGTCAAAACGGAAATTATAGAAGTTCCAAAATTTAACAAGGAGCACCACAAGACAAATAGAACAATATATGAAGGGACATATAAGCCAACCCTGACTCAATATCCACACACAAGTGCAGAAAATATAAGCACAAGAAGGGAGGGCATATACTTAGATTAAACATTGGAGGGGATCCAAACAACTTATTTAACATCTGGCCATGAAGAACAAGCAGGACAGAAAAAAATTTCCAATCATCACATACATTAGATGCAAAATGTTTCCTACATTCCTATAGAGAAAGACAGACTTGGTAGGGATGAATACCCACACCACCAGCTTTAAGAAGAGGTAAACCTAAACACTCCTATTTGGTATTCTTATACAAATATCCGTCAACAACATAAGGCAGAGAATGATCAAATTACTGAAAGCAAACCACAAATGAGAGAAGGAAAAACTTGCATGATCCATGTGATGCGGCAAGGAAAAAGAGAGCCATGAATCATTCTAGTCTTATTTTAAATTATGTATGTTTTAGTTTTTTCTTATAACCTATTTCCTATTCTATTTAGGAAGTTGTAATTCTATGTAATCATAAACACTTCGATAATGAATTATGAGTATTCGATTTAGTTCAACAACTATGGCCTGATACTGACATCCTATTCTTCTTTTAAATTCCTCTAGCTCCACTGTTATCCTTTTCATAGATATAATGGCATCCCCAACTTCTTCAAAACAAGTTTCTGATCTACCTTAATTTTGCATAAACAAAACCCTAACTTGCCATGAAACCTTTGTGGGACACAAATTCAGTCATCCTACATCACCATGACACCTAAGAATAAACTTTAATCAGGAAGATCGAAGCAGAAAGGGGATAAAATGATAACAAGCTTGAGAATTTTCTCCCCGTGATCATTATAATAAACTGAATAATGAATCAAATCGAAAAGAAACATTGTGCGTCAAGATATGGCATTCAAAGACTTGTTACAATGGTCCCAAATTCAAGCTGGCTTATTTCTAGCTATATTTTTTAAGGCAATCATGGCAAAATAGTGATTGCTTTAAACTTGATAGAGACAATAAATGTGATGAGGGTAGCTTAACAGAAAATGTGTGCAAATCATACCCATTTTCAGAGCCAGATTTAATTTCTGCTCGAAGAAGATCTCCAGCACTGAGATGAGTGTAACCAAAGTGTTCAACGATATTGGCACACTGGGTACCCTTTCCACTGCCGGGGCCACCTGATCAATCACGAGAAACAATAAACCACATGTAGAAGGAAAAAAAAACTTTCGTGAATGCAGAAGAGGAAACAAAGACGATGCCATATAACCCTAGGGAGAGAGTAATGATAGAAGCAAGTATTCGATCGCCCATATACGTATACAGGGAAACAATCAATGACATCTTATATTGCTCTCCTATCAATAATATTGTCAAGGCTCATTAACATCATTTAGTTCAGGTTTACAAAACAACGTTATAACTAAATCTGAAGTGAAAGAAATAGAAAATGGTCTCACCCAAAACAAAAACAACGGTAGGCTTCTTCTCAGCATCGCCGACAGACCCCATGAGTGTTGATTAATTCGTGCTTTTCAAATGCAGAATCTGCGAAGGTAACAACACACAACACAACAATATGTCAGACAGAATATAAAAGAAGCAAGCATTGATTCTGCGTATTCAATTCTAAATGGATCTGATCCTGAGACACCGTAGTAAAGTACTGTGTTTGGTTGCATTGAGAAATAAAAGATAATAAGAAATCGAAATCTAGGAGAAGCTTTAGAATTCTCATTGGATCAGTTAAAATCTAAACTTACTGTACACCAGTAGAGGTAGGATCATACGATAGCTTAGATGTTCTACTAAGATCTAAATAATTTTTTTTTAAAAAAAAAAGGAAAGAAAGAAACAGAGACTCAGAAAAACTGCTACGAACTTTTGAGCAATGAATTATGTGTGTGAGACACTTTTAAATTATGAACCATCAATTTTTTATCTCTCAGGGAACAAGCAGGGGTCGTTGAACGTCAAAAGGTTGTGGATCGGAGGAGAAGGAAGTAGATCCAGGGTGAATTAGCAATAAATGTGAAATGCAAGTGCTAAAATTCGAAATGAGAAAGCGAATGAACGAGTATGAGATTATGTAAATATAACGAACAGGTGGAGATTAAAAAATGAAAAAAAATCTGAGAAAGAGAAAAAGAAAATGGAAGCGAGATCTGATCCAGATACATACCTTAGAGAGGAGGAGAGAGAGAGATGGCGGGCGAGGGTGGGAAAGGGAATGGAGGGAAATATCAATTGCTTCGGACCGGTCAATTGCTTCGAAATGAGAAAGCGAATGAACGAGTATGAGATTATGTAAATATAACGAACAGGTGGAGATTAAAAAATGAAAAAAAATCTGAGAAAGAGAAAAAGAAAATGGAAGCGAGATCTGATCCATATACATACCTTAGAGAGGAGGAGAGAGAGAGATGGCGGGCGAGGGTGGGAAAGGGAATGGAGGGAAATATCAATTGCTTCGGACCGGACAGGTATGAGCTAATTGAGGCGGAGGAGGATGATATGTGTCTTTATATTTATACAGGAGGGGAGGGAGAGAGATGTGTGTGATGGTATTGTATAATAAATATAAGCCTGAATTACAATAAATTAAAATTTTACAAAAAAAATTAAAAAAAAATAAATCCATCCATATTTAACAAGATTCGGCTAATCAGAGTTTTTAGAACATTTGTTAAACATTATATAAAGCTTCAAATTAACCATCATTTTCTATTTTTGCTTTGAATGCCTTAAAATATTATAATATAAACTAACACTAATTTGATGTTGATAATCAATTTCGTTCAAATATTTGATATTTATTTATTTTAATATAATTCAATCATAAATAAAGTAAAATGAATACAATTAAATAATTCTTAACATGTGGCTTAAGCACATTTTTTAAATATTAATAGCAGTTTTGGACATAAAAATGAAATTTTGTGATGGGTCCCTATTTTTAGACAGTCAACGTAATATTATGATATACTTGACTGGTTATTGTAATTTGCTATAATAATAATAATAATAAAGGAGTTGACGTTTTTTGAAACAGAAAGGAACCGAACCAAACGCTGTTTCCCCTTTTTCAGCCGTTTATTCCGGTCTGTATTTTCACTTTTCGTAGTTCTAACTTCTAACGCCCATTGTCATTTCCCTTCCCCGGATTCCTCATCTTCTCTTTTATGTAAACGTTTTTTTTTTTTAAATTTTATCTACGTATTTATATTTCACATTAATTAATTTTATTCAAAATGAGATAGTGATAATATTTAATTTTTTTTAATAAATATTTTTTAAAACTTTAAATTTTATATATTGATAAAAAATTTATTTGATGACGAATTTATTTATTATTGGATCAATAATTTATTGATTATAAAGAATTTTTTTTAAAAAAAAGGAGTGAATCTTAAGGGCAATGGGCTCATGACCTACAACTTTCAAAACCACGTTTTATTCTTTATTCTACTGGAGTACCTAATACAACTTTCCGAGCTTTTTTTTTTTAATATTTTTTAACAATTAAGCTATTTTCCAACTAGTTTTCATGGATTTTATGCAAATTATTAACGCTTAAATTGGCCATCCAGAATTAATAATGCACAGAGCAATTTGATTTACCACTTAATCCAACACTTCAAGGATTTTCCATGTCCTTTTGATAGTAGTTGATCTTGTTGCCAACTGCAATGTTAAGGGATCTACACGATCTAATGCTTGATTTATTTATTTGTTTGTTTGTTTGGACATCTTAGTTGCTGGTACTACGTAGTAGTTTTGTCATGTAAGACAAGTGATGCTTGAGCCAATAATATGGATGCACATGGGATAGTAAAGAATATAAATTGTGATGGAATTTGTGCAAAGTTCACATCACTTGGGAGGACAGGACCGCTTAGGCCAAATCAATATTGCTCTTATTCTTGCATCCTACAGCCTAATCGGACGCGTTGGAAGCGTGCCAGCATATATATATATATATATATCTTAGATTCCCATTACCTACATTCTCCTTCAAAGGGAAAAAAGAAGAAGAAGAAAAGGATGTGACTATAAAAATCATCTTGGAATGTTTTTTTACCATGGAAATTAAGTATTCCTTCCTCGATCAAATCTTAGCCATGTACGATCAAACTTTCGCGAGAATATTTTCTTATAGCATTTTTCTTGAATTGAACTTGAAAATAATAGCAATACGAGAATCCAGACCTACCTAGTGCTTGCAAGTAAGGGTGAGTAAACGGTTCGATTAATCGAAAATCGAATAAAACCGAATCGAATTATGAAATTTGGTTCGGTTTTAAATATAAAATTATACAATATAAAACCAAATCGAAAAAATCGTCATTATTTCGGTTCGGTTTGATTTTTAGAAAAAAATTTCGATTTCGACCGAAAACCGAAATAAATAGTAAAAAATTTCTTAATTTCTAAATCCCTAACTTTTCAATCTTCATTCTTGTTGAAACCGAAACACGCAGATATGAAGTAAATTTTGAGGATCGTTGGGGTAAAAAAAGAAAGTGACATAGTGTAATTAATTGAAATACATCATGTTTGAATGAGCAAATTTATTACACTTGGACTCGTTTTCATTAAAGCTTAATTAAAATATTCAAGTGCTTTGTGATTGTTTATAAAAAGGATTAATTGATAACAAGATGTTACTTCATTGGCTAGTGGACTAAGTGCTAGTACAAAATATCTCTCCGTAATGATTTTTTTTTTTACAATAAAATATTTTGGTTAAAACCGAAATATTTCGAAACCAAACCGAAATAATTCGGTTACAAACCGAATTTACCGAATTTATTTCGGTTCGGTTTTGGTTTTTATTTTTTTTAATTTGATTAACCAAAAATCGAACCGAATCGTATAAAATCGAACCGTTTAACTGAATGCTCACCTTGCTTGCGACCTAAATTAAAATCCCCATGAAATTGCCATTTTTAAATTGAAATTCAAATCCCTCTCCCCAATAAAAGGTCCGGCCGTACAAGCCCAATACCTTATCAAAACCACAAGGCCTAGCATACCAAGGAGACGGCCTAAATAAAATATTGAACAAATAAGCCCAATTCTTGACCCAGTTGCTATACCATCCCCATTCCTCTTAACAAATTCTGCAGCTGTGGAGGAAGAAGAACTGAACTCCTCCCTTGCATTCATCATCACCAGCAAGATAGAACAAGAAAGTAAACAAAGCCCACAAATATTTGCCACCAAATCTGACTTAAAGCCAATAAGATCTCCACCATCTCTTAAGATGCAAGGCACGGAAGATCTGCATTCGGTGAGTAGTCAAAGGAGAGTGCTTAGTTTTTCAAAAAAGGATGAGGGCAACTGTATCCTTTCCTGATCCCGATGACAAATCTGCATCTGGGTTTGGTGTGTCTGGAGATCATGGCCCCAAATCCTCTGAAGTTTATGGCTTTGTAGGCTCCATTACAACCGTTGTTGCTACAGGTGTCTTTAACTTTCTTTTTCTTGAATTCATCATTCATGTGGGAATGATCTTCTGTGCTTGTCTTGATATTCTGATCACCATTTTAATTTGCCGCGAAGTATTTTACTTACTGGACGAAAGAAGTTTGGTCACATTAACATGGAATCATTATCTTGTTTGCCATTTTTTTATTCGGAACGTAACTGATCTACCTAATCAGGAATGTCTAGATAAGTTTGATACTGACTTATATTGTTCTTTGTTCTTTGTCTGAGCAGTAATTTTCTTGGTATGGGCATATGTTCCTGAACATTGGTTGCACGCAATTGGAATCTCTTACTATCCCAACAAGTCAGTGGCCATATTGCATTGTTTTGATTAGTATTTTAGATTGAGAAAAGTAAAAGATGAATAGGCGTAGTTGTTACTTGGATTCTGCCCTTCAGGTACTGGGCATTGGCCGTGCCAACTTATGCCTTGGTCACAATCGTATTAGCTCTGGTATTTTACGTTGGCCTCAACTTCATGTCAACCCCTCCCCCAACTTCCCTGAATACAATTTTTTGGTAAGTTGGTCTTGCTCATGGTATTGCAAGTGTGGGAATCGCCTTTTGACTCTCGATGAGCCTAAATATTTATATGATGTCGTTCTCTGTTCTTCAAATGAATTCAGTAGGGATCCTTCGACCTTCATTCCTTCAAGGGAGGGAGATGAGCAGCCCATTGAACCCATATCTGATATCGGCATCAATCAAATCAATGATCTTATGTACAAACATAAAGCTCGTTGTGCTTTGGATCCTATCCATCTGGGCACCCAGCAGCTCATGCACTCGAACTTTTAACTGCAAGGAGCAATGTGAATACAGGTCAATTTTTAATGCATCGAGAGAAAGGTTGGAAGTAAGTCATTTTTTGTTGGTGAAATGGATAGAAAGCAAAGACACTTAACTCCTACAAAACAAAACACGAGAAACAGCTGGAAATCTAATGAAAAAGAGAGCATTCATTGAAACAAGGTTAGGATGCATCAAGAAAAAATGGGAAGCCAGACTAATGAAAAATTCAACCACATCGATCACCAATTGCACATCTGATGGAGCATAGAATACAGATTGCATAAGCATGAGTTATGCAAACGTGAGTTCAAAGCATAACACACGTATAAACAGTTGGATATCATGACAACTGATTGGTCACAACCCCCTCTCCAACAAACACACACAAATATATATAAATAAACACCCTAATCAATTGTCATGATATCCAACTGTTCATACATGTGTGTTATGCTTATATAAAGAAAACTTCTCCACTTACCAGAATTACCTTTTTGTTATATTCAAGAGAAGTTTCTGTTATTAATGGGCAATATGCATTGGAAAATGAAAGTACTTTGTATATATCCTATGGCAAAGTTCAAGATCACAAACATGCACTTTTTTGTTTTATATATATATATGTATACTAGGCTGGTAAACCCCATACATTCACATCCTATCTGGTCAAACAAAGATCATGACTCTGTATTCATCTCACTTAAGCTTGCCTGGAGGGTCCAAAATGGTGCTATAACAGTAAGCATTGCTGAGCTAAGATGGTCTTTCCGAGACTCAAATTTGCACAGCAAATGCTCCTAATTTCTATGCATTGTCAGACACAAATCTTTTAAAAATAATCTTGCCTGCATTCAGTAACTCGGAAATGCAGGTCATCAGATGGCAACCATAGATCCTGTCAAGAAACTAAAACTTTGCAGAACTTCTTGAAGTAAGCATTATAGGCTGATTTTTCACATGAGGTTATTTCCAACATATAGGCTGAATTCGAGTTCAACATCCTCTCCATTCAAGATAAAGAATAAGAAATCTTTCTCTCATCTCTTATAAACAATGAAGTACTACAATCATATCACAAAAAGCATGGAGAAAAGGTAAGGCAACACAATAATATGCATCTCATTCTGCATCAAAAGAAGACAGCTTGATTCAGTACACAGTTCTGACTGTGTTTATAACATAACGACGAATTTTCTCAAGATTTCACTTTCCATACATAGCGGAATGCCTAAAAGATAGCACAGCACCCGTATATGCCGGAATGCCTACAACATAACGATGAATTTTCCTCTTTCGGAGTAAAGAATGTTTTAACTGTCTCAAAAACCTCTTCAACAGGCTTTGCAGCATCGACCTACAGGCCAATGAAAAGAAATCTAATGGTTAAAGTAATCAAGCAATACGTCTTTCAATATAGAAACAACTGCATAAACATATTACCTTTCGAACTTTCCCCTTGGAGTCATAGTACTCAACCACAGGAAGACTAGACTCTAGAAAAACTTTAAACCGCTTCCTTATTGTCTCAATGTTATCATCTTCTCTTCCCTTAATAAATGAGAATAAAAGAGGAATAAAGCAGCATTATCACAAGAGATGAGAAAAATGATCCTAGGAAAAAAAATAAGAATATGACCTCCATGAGAAATATGTTATTTCCATGAATATTCATATTATGAGGGAGTGGTCACATTAATCCAACCTGGTTCCTGCTCAAAATACGCCTCTCCATCTCCTGTTCAGGACAATCAAAGAACGTGACAAATGCCGGCTCAATTTTGGTCTGGATAACAACCATAATTCAGCGGTTGAAAGAATGAACTTCAAATTTATCTTCGGGAGACATGCCCTCAAATCCTATATTGTGCTAAGAACGCTATTCAAAACCAAGCGGAAATCTTAAGCATGCACACAGATAATGGAAATAACTTCATGGAAAAAAGAGTTTCATACGATTGGAACCTATGACGTTTACCGAACCCTTCTCCCTCTTTAAAACTTAAGCAACAGTCTAAAGGCATAATATTGGTACGAAGAATTTTGTGAAAACTTACAACAGCTTCAAAAGCAGCTCGGTTTTCCTCACTGCGAGGAAAGCCGTCGATCACAAATTTGTCGTTTTTACTATCCTGAATTGCTTTTTGGAGGACCTTTATCATTACCTCTGAAGGCACTATCTCGCCCTCCTTCATCATGTTCTGAATCATGGTTCTGTAGATCACAAGGAAAAAGATTACCTGGTGTTCACTGATGAGGTCAAAACAGAAATTATGGAAGTTCCAAAATTTAACAAGGAGCACCACAAGACAGATAGAACAATATATGAAGGGACATATAAGCCAACTCTGACTCAATATCCACACACAAGTGCAGAAAATATAAGCACAAGAAGGGAGGGCATATACTTAGATTAAACATTGGAGGGGATCCAAACAACTTATTTAACATCTGGCCATGAAGAACAAGCAGGACAGAAAAAAATTTCCAATCATTACATACATTAGATGAAAAATGTTTCCTACATTCCTATCAAGAAAGAGAGGCTTGGTAGGGATGAATACCCACACCACCAACTTTAAGAATAGGTAAACCTAAACACTCCTATTTGGTATTCCTATACAAATATTCGTCAACAACACAAGGCAGAGAGTGATCAAATTACTAAAAGCAAACCACAAATGAGAGAAGGAAAAACTTGCATGATCCATGTGATGCAGCAAGGAAAAGAGAGATCCATGAATCATTCTAGTTTTATTTTAAATTATGTATGTTTTACTTTTTTCTTATAAACCTATTTCCTATTCTATTTAGGAAGTTGTAACTATGGCCTGATACTGACATCCTATTTCTATAATGACATCCTATTCTTCTTTTAAATTCCTCTAGCTCCACTGCCATCCTTTTCATAGATATAATGACATCCCCAACTTCTTCATCAAAACAAGTTTCTGATCTACCTTAATTTTGCATAAACAAAATCCTAACTTGCCATGAAACCTTTTTGGGACACAAATTCAGTCATCCGTCATCACCATGACACCTAAATAAACTTTAATAAGGAAGATTCATGCAGAAAGGGGATAAGATGATAACAAGCTTGAGAATTTACTCCCCGTGATCATTATAATAAACTGAATAATGAATCAAATAGAAAAGAAATATTGTGTGTCAATATATGGTATTCAAAGACTTGTTACAGTGGTCCCAAATTCAAGCTGGCTTATATCTAGCTATATTTTTTAAGGCAATCAATTTCGAGCTAATATAAGTAGAAGCAGTAACTACTCCTATTTTCAGAATTTTCTTTTCTTCTCCCCTCCCTCTCTCACATATTCTCTCTCAAATTTCTTCCAAATTTCCTTCCTTGATTCCCAAGTTAAGACATTGTTACATTAGTTTAGGAAAACTATAAATAAGAAGATTAAAGTGGAGATTGTGATACAAGGCAAGGTTTGGTAGGAGTTCAACATAATATGGGGGAGAGAAATGAAAGATCAAGGTGGCAATGCTGAGGTGGATGCATGACAGGCTGGCAATGAGAGCTTAACTAATAACAGTGGCAATGGTTAGAAGATGGTTATAAACAGTTAGGAGGTTGTTAGTGGTTAGCAAGAGTGTTTGTATATAGAGAAAGATTGCAAAGAAAGGGAATTATCTTGGATCATTTTGTAAAACCAATTCTCTCCATTTTTCTTCTCTAAAACTTTTCCTCTATGTAAACAAGTCTTGCATTCTTATCAATCTTGTATTTCAACTTCTTTGCATTGATTTCTTGCATTCATTGAATAAAACTACAAATCGTTTATTTCTTCTTAAATTCTTCTTGCTAAAATCGTAATCGGTAATGCAGTTGACTAGATTGCGGCTTGAAAAGCTTGGAGAACTAGGAAGAACTTGGGAGTAAAAGAGCATAGTGTCAAAGGTAAGATTTTTTATTCATTGATCTTTGAATTTTGAAGTTTATATGTGGTTGATGATGATATTGAAATGCAATTGTCTTGGATTGTGATATGCTTGAGGAATTGATTAGAATAAGATTAGAGCTTTGAGACCTATTTGGCAAAAAGTGAATTTAAATGATTATAATGACTTGAATGATGCTTAATTGTCATGGGCAAGTGGATTAAGAAGTTAATTTGGAGTGAAATTGAGAAATTGAGAGGTTGAAGATGATGGATAGTGACAAATTCTAATTTAGGTTTTAATTGAAAAGGAAATTAAGAAAAATGAGGAATTAAGTCATAAAAGTATAATTAAAGATTAATGGAATGAGTATGGGATAAATTAGAATAGAGTTGATCATTTAATTAAGAATTGATTGTTTAAAGAATGAGTTGAAGATTGGTAATGTAATATGATTAGATGATTGTTTAGAATTAATTGAGCGATTATAGAATTTAGTTAGGTTTTCGGTTCGAGTATTTATAATCAATTTCATTTTTATTTGATAATCTTATATGCTTGTTTTTAGAATAATTTTTTTTTTTTTGAATTATTCCTTGAGATACAATATTGATGGTTAGTTTACCATCATGTGATCTTAGATTCTTCGGAGCGAACGACTCCATTATAACCTCGATCCCATTCGATCCGTCATTTATATTGTAAGTGGTTATTATATAACGTACTCGTGTTTTAAATTTCTTGATTATGTTCATCATGCATCAATGTTTAAGAATGACTTAGAAGCATTTCAATAGAACTTAGATAGGAATAGACTTCATAATATTTGAAATTTTTTCATATCAAAATGATTTGATATGAATGAAAAAAGAGATCTCAATGTGTTGGACAAATATATTGATGGTTTTGATATGTGTTTTGGAATTGAACATGAATTTGTTATATTAATTATTTTCGATAACCGTATAATTTTTGAAAATATATGCATAGTATTTTAAATACCAGTTTGAAAATATATAAGTATGTTTGCTTTTCGAAAATATTTTTGAAACCTTAGGGAACTTAGCTACCGAGGGGTAGCCTTTGAGCTCAATGATACAAGGCTCCAACTAGTAGGAGAGGTAGAGTGCTAGTTCGTGTATCGGCTAATATACGGAAGCCTAGTCATCAAGGACGTGATCTTTAGGTACTCGCACCCTATGATATGTTATTACCCCGTGGGTGTATAAAAACCTATATATGAGATTTCATATGTATACAATATATGTATGATAAGTGTTTCGATGATTTGATAAGAAATGGTTTTGAACAATTTGATTTGTGATATACGATGTGCTTTACAATAGTCATGTGTTTTGAAGAAATAAACATTGAATTTTGAGATGAATTTGAAAGTATCATCCTTAGTCCGTTTCCCTCCCTTAGTATGTTATAATGTCTACTCATTGAGTTGTTAATTGCTCATCTCTTATTATTTCAGTTTTGCAAGATATTGAGAGAATACTTATTGCTTCCTATGGTTACTTGCTTGAAGTCGGCACATTAACCATGTGACTTATTTTCTTGTAAAACGTTTTAAAACCTATGTTTTGATTTGTTGTATTTTTAAAAGCTCTGCTGTTATAGTTTTGGGTGTGTGTTAGAGATTAATTATGAATATTAATTTTGGATATTGAAATGAAAATAGTATTGAATTATGAAGTGTATCGAGGTTGTAAGAAATGTGTATTAAATTAGATTAATGTTAATGGAAAATATATTTAAAGTGATATCGATTTGAGGACTATAATATAAGTCCGATAATGATTTGAGAATTTTAATATAGTATTCGAAACTTGTTTGGGTTGAGATGAGCCTCACGGTTTTATTTGATTCTCACATTTATCCTGACCTACTCTTGGAATTGTGACAATTTTAAACTTGATAGAGACAATAAATGTGATGCGGGTAGCTTAACAGAAAATGTGTGCAAGTCGTACGCATTTTCAGAGCCTGATTTAACTTCTGCTCGAAGAAGATCTCCAGTACTGAGATGAGTGTAACCAAAGTGTTTAGCGATATTGGCACACTGGGTACTCTTTCCACTGCCGGGGCCACCTGATCAATCAAGAGAAACAATAAACCAGATGTAGAAGACCAAAAAAAAAAAAAAAAACTTTTGATAATGCAGAAGAGGAAGGAAGACGACGCCATATAACCATAGAGAGATACTAATGGTAGAAGCAAGTATTCGATCGCTCATATACGTATACAGGGAAACAATCAATGACATCTTATATTGCTCTCCTATCAATAATAATTGTCAAGGCTCATTAACATCATTTAGTTCAGGTTTACAAAACAACGTTATAACTAAATCTGAAGTGAAAGAAATAGAAAATGGCCTCACCCAAAACAAAAACAAAGGTAGGCTTCTTCTCAGCATCGCCCACAGTCCCCATGAGTGCAGATTAATTCGTGCTTTTCAAATGCAGAATCTGCAAAGGTAACACCATACCACACAACAATATGTCAGACAGAATATAAAAGAAGCAAGCAGTTGATTCTGCGTATTCAATTCTAAATAGATCTGATCCTGAGACACCGTAGTAAAGTGCTGTGTTTGGTTGCATTGAGAAATAAAAGATAATAAGAAATCGAAATCTAGGAGAAGCTTTAGAATTCTCATTGGATCAGTTAAAATCTAAACTTACTGAACACTAGTAGAGGTAGGATCCTACGATAGCTTAGATGTTCCACTAAGATCTAAATAATTTAAAAAAAAAGAAAAAAGAAAGGAAAGAATGAAACAGAGACTCAGAAAAACTGCTACGCACGTTTAGCAATGAATTCTGTGTGTGATGCACATTTAAATTATGAACCATCAATTTTTTATTTCTCAGGGAATGAGCAGGGGTTGTTGAACGTCAAAAGGTGGTGGTTCGGAGAAGGAAGCAGATAAATGCGAAATGCAAGTGCTAAAATTTGAAATTAAAGAGAGTAGAAAGCGAATGAACGAGTATGAGGTCACGTAAATATAACGAATAGGTGGAGATTAATAATGAAAAAATCTGAGAAAGAGAAAAAGAAAATGGAAGCGAGATATGATCCAGAGACATACCTTAGAGAGGGAGAGAGAGAAAGAGGGAGATGGGGGATGAGGGAGGGAAAGGGAATGGAGGGAAATATCAACTGCTTTGAACAGGACAGGGAGGAGCCATGTCCTTCTGTTAGTAGTTGATCTTGTTGCAAACTGCAATGTTAGGGGATGTACATGATAGAGTGCTTGATTTATTTATTTATTTGTTTGGACATCTTAGTTGTTCGTACGAGGTAGTAGTTTAGTCATGAAAAACAAGTGATGCTTGAGCCAATAACATGGATGCACATGGGATAGTAAAGAATACAAATTGTGGTGGAATATGTTCAAAGTTCACGTCAATCGGGAGGACAGGACCGCTTACTGGTTAGGTCAAATCAATATTGCTCGTATTCTTGCGTCCTCCAGCCGAATCTGACTTGTAGGAAGCATCCCAAGCATATATATATTTATCTTAGATTCCCACTACCTACGTTCTCCACATTTTCCTTGTAAGGTAAAAAAGAAAAAGAAAAAAGAAAAGGATGTGACTGTAATAAATCATTGTGGAATGTTTTTTTACCATGGAAATTAAGCAGTCCTTCCTCGATTAAATCTTAGCCGTATATAATCAAATTTTCACGAGAATATTTTTTTATAGCCTTTTTCTTGAATTGAATTTGATAATAGTAGCAACACGAGAATCCAGCCTACTCAGTACTTTATAAAAAATACTAAAGTAAAATGATATTTACTATTTATATAGTCACAAATTACTATCCATACACTCATAAGTTATTATTCCTTTTACCATTCATGGTATTTTTGTAACACTTTAGTCCTCTATTTTTTTTTCAATTTTAAATTTTAATTATATTGTGATTTGATCCCATTTTGTGTTAGTGTTTTTTGTTAATTATTTTTATTATTTAAGATTTATTACTTTAATTTATCTTTTTTTAAATTCTTTTTTTTTTCAATTTCAAACTTTAATTATATTGTGATTTGGTCCCATTTTGTTTTAGTATTTTTTGTTAATTATTTTTATTATTTAAAATTTACTACTTTAATTTATCATTTTTTTAAATTCTCATCCAATTAATTTAAAATTATATTTACCTGACAGCTTTGATTTATTTTTCTATATGTATGGATTTTGGAATAAATTTTTAAAACATGATTATTTTTTCTTTTGAAAAATAGATTTAGATAATTTTTAAATTATAGTGACATGATTAATATATATAATTTGTCTAAAATACATTTTTAGTCCTCATTTGTTCTATACTTTTTTTTCTTAATTTTAAACTTTAATTCTATTATGATTCGGTCTCATTTTGTTGTAGTACTCGTTTGTTTATTATTTTTATTATTTAAAATTTACTAGAATTTGTCATTTTTAAAAATTCTCATTCAATTAATTTAAAATTATATGGTCCTCAATTTTTCTATATTTTTTTTTCAATTTCAAACCTTAATTGTATTATGATTTGGTTCCATTTCATTTTAGTGTTTTTTTGTTAATTATTTTTATTATTTAAAATTTATGACTTTAGTTTGTCTTTTTTTTTTTCTAAATTCTCATCCAATTAATTTAAAATTATATTTATTGATAATTTTGATTTATTTTTCTATATGCAAGGATTTTGGAATAAATTTTTTGAAAATGATTTTTTCTTTCTTTTGAAAAATAGATTTAGATAATTTTTAAATTATAATGGCATGATTACTATATATAATTTTTCTGAAATCCATTTTTAGATTAAAAGTGTATTTTAAATAATTTTTCTTGATTTGTTTTTTAGAAAAAAACTCAAATTAGTTAATTAGTATTTGAAAGTCAAATGTGAAAAATAAAAAGAAGTTGATTACTCTACACGTGAGACCCGTATTCAAGGACTAGCCTTCCATAGCATAGAAATAAAAAATTATTTAAGAAGAAGGAAAAAGAAAAAGAATTCACATGTTTTATTAATTTGTTTCTTCTTTATATAATCAAAATTAATCAAAATCAAATTTGTAATAAATTTTATTTTAGTCTATTAACTTCAAATTTAGTCAATAGATTTCTTGCAAGTTAATTTTTTTTTTTTATAGTATCTTTTGTTTTAAATTGAAAACTCGAAGTTACTTAGTATAGTTATGATGTGTAAAAAAATATTGAATCGTTATTTTTTTAGAAATTAACTATGAAACTACTACTACACTAAGCATTTACTATTTATTTATTTATTTTTGAATATTTTAAAATTAATTTATTTTAAATTAAATAATTAAAATCATGCTTTGGCTTAACCACTTAATGATTCAAATTAATATGTTTTTTTTTATTTTAATATTATTCATTCTTTTGTAAATAAACATATAAAAATTAAATTCATATGTTTTCAAAAACCGATATTCTCATCAACATAAAATAAAAATAAAAAACATTATTTGTTCAATTCTATATAAGCTTTTAATAGTTGTTATTTTTGTTTTTCGACATAATCTTATAAAATACTAATTTTTTTAAAAAAATTATATTTAATTTTTTTTAGTTAATAATCCATATATTAACAAGAATAAATCATTTTTCTAAAATAAAAATGATGAAAAACACAAATAAAAAAGAGTTAAATATAAAATTTTTGATTTTTTCATCTTTAATTTTATATATTTTTATAGATTCACGTCATAAAACAGTACTATTAAAATAAAATAATTTTTATAAATAATTTTATATATTTTATTTAATCCGTAAAATAACACTGACAAAAAAAAAACTAGTTAAACCTAAACTAAAATCCCGAGTATGATGAAATTGCCATTTGTCAATTGAAATTCAATCCCTCTCCCCAATAAATTAAGGTCCGGCCGTACAAGCCCAATATCTTATCAAAACCACAAGGCCTAACATACCTAGTACCCCAATTCTTGACCCAGTTGCTACCGTCCCCATTTCTCTTTAACAAATTCTGCAGTTGTGGAGGAAGAAGATTTGTAACTCCTCCCTTGTATAGTTGTATTCGTCGTCATTAGCAAGATAGAACAAGAAAGTAAACAAAGCCCACAAATATTTGTCACCAAATCTGACTTAAAGCCAATAAGATCTCCACCATCTCTTAAGATGCAAGGCACGGAAGATCTGCATTCGGTGAGTAGTCCAAGGAGAGTCCTTAGTTTTTCAAAAAGGAGGAGGGCAACTGTATCCTTTCCTGATCCTGATGACAAATCTGCATCTGGGTTTGGTGTGTCTGGAGATCATGGCCCCAAATCCTCTGAAGTTTATGGCTTTGTAGGCTCCATTACAACCGTTGTTGCTACAGGTGTCTTTAACTTTCTTTTTCTTGAATTCATCATTCATGTGGGAATGATCTTCTGTGCTTGTCTTGATATTCTGATCACCATTTTAATTTGCCGCGAAGGATTTTACTTACTGGACGAAATAAGTTTGGTCACATTAACATGGAATCATTATCTTGTTTGCCATTTTTTTATTCGGAACGTAACTGATCTACCTAATCAGGAATGTCTAGATAAGTTTGATACTGACTTATATTGTTCTTTGTTCTTTGTTCTTTGTCTGAGCAGTAATTTTCTTGGTATGGGCATATGTTCCTGAACATTGGTTGCACACAATCGGAATCTCTTACTATCCCAACAAGTCAGTGGCCATATTGCATTGTTTTGATTAGTATTTTAGATTGAGAAAAGTAAAAGATGAATAGGCGTAGTTGTTACTTGGATTCTGCCCTTCAGGTACTGGGCATTGGCCGTGCCAACTTATGCCTTGGTCACAATCGTATTAGCTCTGGTATTTTACGTTGGCCTCAACTTCATGTCAACCCCTCCCCCGACTTCCTTGAATACAATTTTTGGTAAGTTGGTCTTGCTTATGCTATTGCAAGTGTAGGAATCGCTTTTTGGCTCTCGATGAGCCTACATATTTATATGATGTCGTTCTCTTTTCTTCAGATGAATTCAGTAGGGATCCTTCAACCTTCATTCCTTCAAGGGAGGGAGATGAGCAGCCCATTGAACCCATATCTGATATTGGCATCAATAAAATCAATGATCTTATGTTTACTGATCATGTTTATTGATGGAGAATGAAAGGTGCACCTTTCGGAAGATGCTGTTGTACCAATTTTTCAGTGTATTGATGGGAGAATGAAAGGTGCACCTTTTCAGTTTGATCATAAAAATTTGTTTTAAGCTTACAGCTTGCTCGATACATTTGTAACTTTTCTCTTTACATTTGAATATTAAATCCAAACCAATTATTCCTGTTGAAACCCAAAGCAATGGCCTGCCACCCCTACAGAGATTTAAACTCAAGCTGCATCGCATTTCAAGCTGCAGGTTGAAAACTTGGACCGAGAAACAAAATCATGACACGATTTTGGTGAGCTCTAGCACATAGAATTCCTTATCTGTTTTTTGGAAGAGGTGGTTCCTATAGATCGCAAAGAATGTAACAGTGCAGCAGTCATTGTTGAGGCAGTTTGACCCTTAGATCAACTGCTATCCCCAAGACTGAATACAGATGTCCATCATGTTACTAGTTCTGGACTAGCTTCGTCACTCGTTGTGCTTTGGATCCTATCCATCTGGGCACCCAGCAGCTCATGCACTCGAACTTTTAACTGCAAGGAGCAATGTGAATACAGGTTAATTTTAATGCATCGAGAAAAAGGTTGGAAGCAAGTCATTTTTTGTTGGTGAAATGGATAGAAAGCAAAGAAACTAACTCCTACAAAACAAAACACGAGAAACAGCTGGAAATCTAATGAAAAAGAGAGCACTCATTGAAGCAAAGTTAGGATGCATCAAGAAAAAATGGGAAGCCAGGCTAATGAAAAATTCAACCACATCGATCACCAATTGCACATCTGATAGAGCATAGAATACAGATTGCATAAGCATGAGTTATGCAAAGGTGAGTTCAAAGCATAACACACATATAAACAGCTGGATATCATGACAACTGATTGGCCACAACCCCCTCTCCAACACACACACACACACACACACACACACACACACACACACACACACACACACACACACACGCATACTAATCAATTGTCATGTTATCCAACTGTTCATGCGTGTGTGTCATGCATATATAAGAAAACTTCTTATAACACCTATGCTACGCCAAGCAGATTTAATTTACAGCCACCATAAACATATAGTACTTCTTTCCACATCAAATAATAAAATTCAAAATTGATTAGCAATTACTTACCTCTTCAAGCCCCTTCCCATTCTTTACTGACACACGTATCGCTCCTTCAGGTCCCATTTTTCGATACCTTGCCAGTTCAAGGTGATCAGCATTGCTATCTTCCGTGATGAAGATCACAGGAGACTCTTGCAAGATATCACATTTAGAAACAACATCAAGCCAGAGATGATCACTGAACCTCTCTTTAATTTCTTTGTATATGACAAACTGCAAATCAATTGACCAGTAACATAAGAAAAATTACCTCATGGGTGAAAAGCATAAGTAGGACGACAAATAAATATGAAAACCAATTACTTTACAGTAAATGACTCTGGACCAGCACATAGCTATTGTGTGTGGCCACAAAGCAGGCTGGGCGTTTCACAACACCTAACTGTTGTCCTGTGACAGCCTTTTATCTCACAGAAGTATTAGAATTTTAATTTTAAAAGAGCAAGGAACAACTTAAAACACACAAAAAACTTTGGCTGAGGCTAAAAACTCAATCACAGAAGTTGACATTCATCTTGAATAATGCTAAATAAAGCAGAAGGGAAATTTTGAGAATTCTCGAAAAAAAGAGAGGAATTTTTAGACCAGTGCTAGCAATACTAACACTTTTACTATCATTTATTCACTAACTGATGTAGTCCTCATTATCTAGGAAGTTTTTCGGATCATAGTAATGTGCCTTGAACGGACTAATTAATAAAACACCATGCACAAATGGTCACATCAGTTAGTAACATAAAGTTAGTAAAAGAGTTAGTATGTAGAACTGCTGGAAATTTAAGAGGACAATGTCCTGAATATAGCTGGCTGAATGGCCAGAAAAGGATACAAATTAAAAGACTACATCAAATCATTTGATACCTGATCGGAAGGTGAGGTCCCACATTCTCCAGTGAGATCATGGACATAAAGTATTGCTGTTGGCAAATGTGAGAGGACAGCAAGTGTCAATTTTTCCAAATTGTTCCTGTCCTCTGCAGGATCAAACAAATTGGGAAAATATAAAAATCAGTCAGATATAGGATGCTAAGACAAAAACACTGAGCCATTATAAATCAAGACCGTAATACTGAAACTGTGGCCATAAATAAGCAGGCTACAGAGTGTGTTGCAATCATCACGAGACATGATTGTGTAGCTTAAGATTAGTGCAAGAATTATATGCAATGTGTAAACTCCCAAGCAGGAAAAAAGTTATTGCTTGATATCATACCATCACATCTCTTCAGTAGTCCAGGGGTGTCTGTCACCTGTAGTTAGTTTCAACATTAACAAATTGTAAGATGACGAGTGATTACTGATAACTAACTAAAATCTTTTTACCTCTCACAAAAGAAAGATAATAAAACAATTAACCTGAAAATGCTGGAACTTTAGAGCAATGTGGCCCATTAGAATTCCTCTTGTAGTGAAAGGGTAGTTGCAGACCTGGCCACAAACAAAGGGGGAAAGTAGAAGAAAAGGATATTATTAACGGCAAGACACAGTAATCAAATCGATACAAAATTTTAGTGACCAGCATCTTCAATAGGTGAATACCAGCTTCAGCATCTGTACCAGAGTAATACACACCCCAGCCAGAAATTAAAATAACAATCACAATCAGAAGATCCAAAAATCCGTGCTTTTGTTACTCAAATGACTAAGACTACAGATCCCCTCAAAGGTCTTTTAACTTATTTTCATGCCATCATTAACCAAAAGCATCAAGTGGAGGAAATAAATGAAAAATCTTATGAAGGTCAGCATTAGCTGAAAGTTCATAGATTGCTATCCAGAATGTGCATTTAAGCAACATAGAACCTTAACCAACTAGGGTTATCAACATCCTTTTCAGCATGATCAATATTTAATTCATGATATACATATAGAACCACAAAGCACTATAATCAAACTAAAAGATTGGTACAAACCTCAGGCTTCCCTGTTGAGAGAACACGAACCAAGGATGACTTTCCGACATTAGGAGCTCCAACAAGACAAAGAGTTGGTGTTTCCAAATCAACAACTGGCATAGCCCGCAAAGTCTGCAATCTATATTAATTATCAATACTGACCCATCACATGCTAATTACAATCATCTCTTATTATAAGTCAGTAGTGGAATGGAGGTTATTTTCCAAATAAATATATAACCTAGTAAGATGCATCACCAACATGCACCACTAAGGAAATTCATTATCTAGCAACAGCCATCTCTAATATGGTCAAAACAATTTAAAGATTTCAAATGCTTTTGCTACACCCGACACAAGGACACATGCATCATATGAGTGTTTGACCATGCAATAAATTACTAAAAGGGAAAAATAAGATGAAAATATTTAGAACACAGTGAAATATGCATTTCTTTAAAAGGCAGAATACCTTGGCAACGTTCAATAAATCATCAACTGCCTTTCCTTCACATTTAAAAATTTCTTCAAGCTTTTCCAAACCCTGCGGATAATAGGACAGACTGTAAGGTCATAGATAATTGTATAAGTACGCAAAAAAGCAGAATAACAGACCTCATTCAGCCGCTCCTCAGCGTCTCGTTTTGTTAAAGACTGCCCAGAATTGCACCACTAGTTAGTTACAACATAATTTCTACAGATATAGAAGTAAAGAGAATGCAATAATTAATTTCCCTACATTCACAATATTTCCACATCTGTGATTATGAATTCTAACCTTTCTGATATACAGATCCAGTCAACATATCACAATAATACATCTAGATACTATCATTTGGAGGTGACAAAGATTGTCAATTTGAATCACTTAGATGTGCTCTGAGATTGTTTAATATTTTCCACAGGGTTCATTTCTGTGATCTATCAAGCTTTAAAATTCATATAATCAAGGAGTCCTGCGTACTTCTGAACTAGCAGTTGAGAAGGCAAGAAAAACATGTATGGATACACAAAAGGTTTTGGAAATTCACAGAATGTGCAAGAAACTAAAACCAAAGAAACATTCTAAGTTTAGAACTGTTTTGTAGGCTTTACAAAAGTTTCAATCAAGCTGAAGGTATATCCGAACAGTCATGGCACATAAAGAATTCAATCAAGCAACTATAATCCAACAACCCAAAATCAGAACAATACATGCTTCCAGTTTTAAGAAAGACTTCTAACCTTAGCACAGATAGAAGCACGCTCCTTTCCAACACATACCACCTTCTTCCTCAGAGCATCCACATTTCTCAACACCTGTCAAACCTTAGATGAATCCAGCATCGGAATAAAACAGAAGAAAAAAGCTTTTATATATAGGAAAAAGTAAGGACAGATTTCTGACATATTCAAAAGATGGTAGGAGACTAGACATTCTCGTAAGCCACAAAAAACAGTCTTCCACTTTTCCAAAGCCATTCATCAGAACTTGACCAAAACATAAATAGATGAAGAAATGATACAAAATAAAGCATCATTTTTCATGAGACAAGGACTTTCCCCTAATTATCACATTGAAGTCAGCCTGCCCAACAGAAGGGGTAGGGTGAAGAAGGATTCTCACTGCTTCTTTTGCACAGAAAAGTACTTATTTCCGTTATGGAACAAGATTATTAGGTAGTTAGGTTTTACTGATTGTTTTTAACAATTAATTTCGGAAGAGTTCTCTGTGGGCCCTTTTGAAGGCAGAGTCTACTGCTAGAAGTCCTAACTCCCAAGAACCATCAAACAAGCAAAAAACATCAGGAATGATTTCCGCATAACTTACCTCTTCATAATTTCCATCCCCAAGGGTCAGCTCAATAAGCGATCGTTCATAAGGATGCAAAAATTTCTTTTTAGGGAAATTCTCTGTGTACTCTCTTAGTGGAACTGCCAATTCCTGAAGATTGAAGCACCAACTAAGATCTTAGCCTTTCACCATATGCATATAATAGAACCACCACCACCCTCCTCTCTTTTTTGCACTAACATACTTGGCAAACTTGAGATAAGAGCTTACTTTCATCAATGCATCAAGTTGCTTTGCCCCTCTATTTCTCTCTCGCTTTGCAATATTAGCTATGCCTATGAATGAAAAGAGCAAATATTATAAATAAACCATTGGTCCACAGAGTCTCAATCATGGCATAAGAAACAAATCTCCAAGTGAATCACCTTTTGTGGGCGGAACTCTCTTTGCCTTCCTCAATGCTGAATAGAGTATATCAACCGATGGCATCACCATAGGTAACTTTTGAAATGCACCAACACTTTCAAGTTTTGTTGACGCATTGTCCTGAATTTATCACAATATTTCATCATTCACAAATCCCAGAAAGTAAATTGGTTGTAGTAGAAGGGTAAAAAAAAAAAAAGGATACCTTAGTTTTGTCTGGTTGCTGTGTTTTAGAGGTAGTGGGTACATAGCTTCCATTGACAATTCCATAAGTGACAGTCTGAACATTTCTACAAAAGCATGAAGTTGGATACTTTGTTGCTCCTGCTTTCACATACACACCTGCATTTGATTGTAATTGGCAACACGCTAATCATTTATCCAGCTGGAAAAGAAAAATAATCCAAAAGCTTACGAAAAAAAGCAAGCAATCACGCCAAATTCAACCCAAAATCCAATCTTTAGTTCTTAATTATTCAAAGTTCGAGCCACTTCAGAAGGAGAGAAAAGGAGGGTTACCTTTGGAAAATTTAGAGGTTTTGAGTAGAATTTTGGTTGAAGAAATCTGCGATAGCTGCGAGAGACAATAAGCCCCACTCATCTTCGCTCTTTTTGAAATCAAGAGATGCAAACCATTTTTGGGGTTCTATGTTCTTCTACCCTTCTCTTCCGGGTTTATGAATTCTATCTGCCTCCCAATCTTGATGGCACCCACACTAACTCTCTAAGTCCACACTTTCGATGCCAATGGCCCAATATCCGTTCTTCTTTTGGGCTGCATTTGGAATTGGGCTTTATAGACAACTTCAAGAACGAAATTATGAGTCCAGACTTCCTTTTCTTTTTTTTTTTTTTTTTGGAGAAAATTACAAATTTCATTAACCAAAAGTCCAACAACTTCTATAATGTAATTTTAAAAATCAATACGTTGATTTTTTTATTTTATCCGTTTAACTTAAAAATGATGACACAGTATTGTCCGACCAACTTGGTATAATAATATAGTATTTTCGAGCAACTTATGTAAATCATACGAAATCCACCTCTCACGTCCGGTAAAAAGTGCAGAATTGTTTCTGAAAAAACATTTTCACTAGCAGGTAGCGTGTGTGGTTAAGAGCTGGAAAGAGCAGGAGGTGTGAGATAAGAAACAAGTAGTACCAGTCAAATGGACTTGTACGGACATTACGACCAACGAAAGCATGTGAAGAATCATAAGCAGAACAAACCATTCCATGATTCGCATATCTGACTGCTCTGAAACTCAACTCTCATTTTATTTCCCATCTTTCAGTCCCAGCAAAACCGAAACCAGATATACTTACTATTGTTCAAGTATGATATCTCTTGCTTCCATTCACCACCACCACCACACCCTCTTTTCTACCCATCTCCACATAACTACAATCTACCCACCAACCCGCTTCAGAATTTTTCCTCACATTTCATCGAATACTCGACCAATCCACAGGTTTCTTTCTTCTCTGTCTCTCTCTTAATTTACTGTCTCCATGCATTTCTTTGGCCTAGTTTTTATTGTCTTTTTTATGATAGCAGTAGATGTTCTCTGGCCTCTGTTGCTCCTTTGGAAGCAATACTTTTCGACATTGATGGAACATTGTGTGATTCAGGTCCTCTCCATTTTTATGCTTTTCGTGATATGCTTCAGGAGGTAATTATTTTGCTCCTCCTGATTATTATATTCTCGTCTCCAAAAGGAAAATTTAGCAGTATGACTTAAAAATAGGGCCATGTTTTCCGTTCTCATAAAGGTAGGTTTCAATGGAGGGACTCCCATCACTGAGGAATTCTTCATCGAAAATATTAGTTGTAAGCATAATGAAGATCTAGGCCACATCCTCCTTCCTGATTGGGAAATCCAAAGATCCCGCAATTTTTTGGAAGAGAAAGAAGCTTTGTTTCGAAAGTAACTTTATAATATAACATTCCTTTCGTCAAGTTCAAATGTTCTCTTGCCTCAACATAAAGGACTTGAACGAGTAGAAATCAATGTACAGACTGGCGTCAGAAGAATTACAGCCTGTGAAGGGCTTGCAAAAGTTGTTAAAATGGATAGAGGATTGCGGTTTGAGAAGAGCTGCTGTTACTAATGCTCCAAGATCAAATGCTGAGCTTTTAATATCAACGTTAGGTCTGTCAGATTTCTTCGAAATTCTTGTTATCGGGAGTGAATGTGACCGAGTAAAACCATTCCCCAACCCCTGACTGAAAGCCCTCCAAGCACTTGACATTTCTCGTAAGCATGCTTTTTGTGTTCGAGGTTTGCCTTTGCCTTTTTGCCTATTACAACTGTGTTCTGTGCATAAGACGACTATTGTTGGCGGAACAAAATTTTGATATCAGGTTCCCGTGTTATGGTTTTTGCTTTGCCAGGATTCTGTTTCAGGGATAAAAGCAGGGATGGGAGCTGGGATGCCAGTGGTGGGGTTAGGTACGAGGAATCCTGAACAGTTATTGACAGAAGCTGGAGCTGCTTTGTTCTTCAGGATTTTGATGACCCTAAGTTGTGGACAGAATAGGAAGAGCTGAAGAGAAAGTCAGAGGTAACCACAACCACTGATGTGATAAATTCCAGGGGCAAAGCACATATATAATGTAACATCAAGAGTTAGATATCTGTGGCTGCATAACACCTTGACCTACTATAGTATATTGGATTTTTGCTCCATTGTATTTCAAATGAAATGATCAAACAATGTAACACAGTCTCGGGCGTGTGAAACTCTATAGCACACTCTACAACACAGATGTTCATGACAATTAACAACCAAAGAAACCCAGGCAGATCAAGCTGTGGCTAGGAAAGAATGAGACCCCCACTTACACAATTGAAAGAAAAAAAAGGAGACAAAATGAGAAAACAAAATAATACATGAAGCAATCAACAAAAATATATTACCCCAGGAAGCCTACAAGTTTCCAGATGTAAAACCATCCATGTAGCTACTACAACTATCAAGCATAACCGAAGCCTGCCATCCCAACCCCACCAACACTCTATAGAATTCAAACATTGGTGAAAAACAATATAAGCAACCTGAAAATGAATCACCTGTCAAGAGTCTGGATTGTCAGTTTAAGTGACTATTATACAATGATATTTCATATATAAATCTATCTTATCGAGCCCATGATACCGAATCAATCTCATCCCTAGCTGCTTTGTATAGTTCAAGCCTTTTTGCACACTCTAGTCTTCTTTCCATCAGTGCAGGGTCTTCATCTAATAACTGTGAAAGCTGCTTACCCTGAAAACACATGTGAAAATTAGTGGCTGTCAAAGAGAGCAATCAAGTGCTTGGGCCAAGTAACAAAATTGTCAGTGGCCAAAAAAGGAAGAAAAAAAAAATCTAGAGTACCTAATTGGGCCAAGTAACCATGATGAAATACATCGAACCGTCTAACATGAATCCATTAAGCGAAATTGACTACATAATTCATACAAAAATATAGGGACAAGAGTACCTCTTTCTTCCCAATTTGTGTGTAGAAGTAATTTAGCAGTGATTGCTTGGCTTCTCTAACTTGGCAATGCACCACAGCCTTAGGAATTGTGTTCTTTAGTGTCTCCGACACCATACCAACATAAGAGGACACGTTTGACCCAATCCTCCTGAAGTGCATCTCTGTATATCGATCCACGGTTGAGGAAGCTGGATTTCCTCCTTTATTATCCACTTCCTGAGGAAGCCTTCGAAAGAAATCCACAGTCAAATATGAAGATTCCATATCCACTAATCGAAGAACTGTCTTCTTACTATCATTTCGGAACCTCTCCAAGGCCTCGTTAGCAGCAGCAGCTAATTCAGCTTGCAGAGAAGGAAAACGCCTCAATTCCTGTTTCAAAGTGAAAATTAATGCTCTCTCTCTTATCTAAGCAACATTGGTACTTAATAAAATAAAAAAAGAAGCCAAAAATAGGTAAAAATTAAAAATTATACCTGAGTTTCTGCAATTGACTTTCTGACAAGCTCTTTTAAGACAAAGTGAACCTAAATAACAATTTCCATATCAGCTAAAGGAACAGGTGAAATTTTCATCAAGATTTTATCACTTCCGGATACATTTGAAGAAATTTAAGGTAAACCTGACAAAAGGTAAATACAGAAAACTAGACTACTTACAGCGTCCGCAGAGGCTTCTGCTGGGCCCCTAAAATAATTCAGTGAGCTCTCAATTAGACGACGGTAACCTTGCTCTGGAGCAATCAGATGTGGCTGATAACCATCTGCCTCTGAAACCACCCTCCTTACATTCTGCTGAGAGAGATGCCGATCAAATGGCAGCTTCCTCAGAGCAGCAGGGAGCTGATTATCAAAAACTCCATAAATCCGATCACCACCAGGTCGCCTAGAATTAAAAATCCAAAGGTCTAATAAGAACACTAGCACTAAATCATTTTACCAAGAGAGAGAAATTGACTGATTCATCTTGAGATGGAGAGGAATAAGAAATTTTATTCTAATTGCTGTAAAAAATAATCTTTTTAAGTTTTTACTGTCTTGTCTAGTCTGGAAAATTTATAGCCATTTTTTGTTCGTGTATAATCAAATATAAGTAAAGCAGAGAGTGCAATGGTTCATCCACAAAAGAACCCAATTACTGGGGCTCAAACAGGAATTGGAAGTGCAAATCTTTCTGGTCTTACCTTCACTAGGGTTTAGAAATCAGAAGAGACTTAATCCCTCGCAATAAGGACTTTTCTTAAACCATATACAAATATCATGATAATTAGTGCTGTAAAAGGTGTCGGTAACAAACCCTCCTTTCAGGAAAGAGTTCTCAGAAATTACCAGGGAAAATAGTACTTTCCAATGTTGCAGTCCAACTAGAAAGAATTGGGAATGTAAATTTTTTTAATATAAAATTAGGAAAAGGAAATAAAATCAATAATGTATAACTTAACTAGATAGCCATTGACTTTTTGGGGGAGGGTTTATATTACAACTTTCCAATTCAAGGTTTTATTTTTGGAATATAAGTAAAAGACTAGAAAATGATTACCCTCCATCCAGATGCTCCTTGAATACCTTGTCAAATGCACGGCAAAGTTCCAAGATGGTGTATAATTGAGCCTAAAGCACAAAACATCATTCATAAATTCGGAATAAATAGAATGTTGGTGAAGAATGACTGTGGAAGAAATAGGCTACTCACCCCTGCATCCACAGCAATAGGCCTACCCAGATGGTCCATCTCTGATTCGAGTTCATCAATGCTTTTGTTAATCAAGGATGTGATACTTGGTATACGAGCCCTGATTACAGACTCCAAGTGCTGAAACCAAGTCACACCCATTAAAATGATGGCTTGATTTTCTTTTATGTCTTTATTTTTTTCCAAAAAATAAATCCTGGAATGAATACAGCATGTTGAATATCAAACCTTTGAGAGAAGTTTTGCAAGATATTCTGAACCCATTTTATTGGATAAATGCCCATAATCAGGACTAGTTGCAAAGTACTCACGCTCCTTGCGCCTTGCCACAATCATGTCAATATTCTTATTAATGTCGGCTTGGGATCGGTTCACAATTCCAACCCAAGGATGCTGCAGCCGATAAGATCTTCCTTCAAGAACCTTAAGTCCAAACAGCAAATAAAATTTTTAAATTATTGATTATGAAATAAGTGATTTCATTGGAAATTTGGAATAGACATTATAAGGAACGTGTGCATTTGTGGTGCATGCAAGGGCATGTGTGTGCCCGGGTTGAGAAAGAGCTCTAGAGAGAGAGATTACATCTAATGCATTGGTCCCTTTGTCCATCAAATCCAACTTAGTCAGCACCCCAAAGGTCCGTTCACCTGGGCAAAGTTAAGAACAATAATAGGTAAGGGAACACTAAACCAAGTGACAAAATGTTTTTAGTAACCTATAGCTCAGGCACTCAGCTATATGGGATAAAATCAAAGGGAAAATACCAGTGGGATCCACTTCTCTAGCAAGCTTGATAGCATCTGAAGTTGCTATATCTTGATTGGCTGGAGATATTGCAAGTATAATACAATTTGGCTGCAAATATTTAATTTTATCAGTTAGAACATAAAACATGCATGAGGGAAGATCTCATTTGGATACAAGAATATTGTGCATTTCTTGTCTCTATAACGCATCTATGCAATTCGTTACCGAATCAAAAGTCTTAAGCTGCCCAGGGACATGCTCAACGCATTTTTGCACAAGAGCATCCATTTCATTTAACAATTAAATTCCAGCAAGAAATGTCAAAATGTAGTGGATGTGTCCTACTTTTGAATACAAGAAATGTAAAACATGCAAGAGGAAAGATCTCATTTGGATACAAGAATATTGTGCATTTCTTATCTCTATCTCGCATCTATGCAATTCATTACCGAATCAAAAGTCTTAAACTGCTCAGAGAATGTTGAGCATTTCTTATATCTATCACACATCCATGCAATTCATTACCGAATCAAAAGTCTTAAACTGCTCAGAGACATGCTCAACGGTTAAATTCCAGCAAGAATTGCCAAAATGCAGTGGACGTGTCCAACTTTTGAAAGTTCAACGAGTCCTTTGGACCATAAAAGACATGCATGAGGAAAGATCTCATTTGGATACAAGAGTATTGTGCATTTATTGTCTCTATCATGCATCCATGCAATTCAATACCGAATCAAAAGTCTTAAACTGTGCAGGGACATGCTCAACGCATTTTTGCGCTAGAGCATTCATTTCATTTAACAGTTAAATTCCAGCAAGAAATGTCAAAATGTAGTGGATGTGTCCTACTTTTGAATACAAGAAATGTAAAACATGCAAGAGGAAAGATCTCATCTGAATACAAGAATATCGTGCATTTCTTATCTCTATCACGAATCTATTCAATTCATTACCGAATCAAAAGTCTTAAACTGCTCAGAGACATGCTCAACGCATTTTTGCACCAGAGCATTTCGATATCGTTAAATTCCAGCAAGAAACGTCAAAATGTGGATGTATCCTACTTTTGAAAGTTCAACCAGTCCTTTGGGCCATAAAAGACCACAGATATAAAACATGTAACATAGAAGATAGAGACTAGAATAATAAAATATTGTTCATTATACAGCCATGTTTAAATATCACGACAATTTGAGCACATTTTGTGTTAAAAAAAACAAAACTCGCCCAAATGACCATAATTTCCCAGTTTAGAAATGAAATGCAAGGCATCAATACCTTCTCAACATAAGTGCGAACCATGGCCTCGATATCTTGAACAATACTTTCAGGCTGTCCCTCTGAAGATTAAAATAATTGTTAACCTTCATCAGTGGTAGATAAAACCAAATCATGTGCAAACATGAACGCAAGATGATCAATTAAAGCAAAAACATACCAATAGCAACTTTTGTTAAACCAGGTAAATCAATCAGGGTTAAGTTGACGACTGCGAAACAACACAACCCAAGTAAACATTAGTTCAAATCTTGAGCATAACATTGATGCAAGACAGACAAGAAGTTAAGAAAACAACACAGTACACAACTAATCCATGAATGTCCAAGATCAAATAAAAAGAAAAACTATCAATCACACACCATTTGGAGAGTAGATGCTGAGATGGATAGGAACAGGAGAAATCTGTTTGGTTTTCCCTGTAATTCTATCAGTTTCATCCTGAATTTCCTTTCGCACCACAGCTGCACATATAAAAGGAAATGAGCAACAATTTTATCAAATTGACAAGAAAATAAGTGGAATTCAAGCAAAAAATAGCACATAACAAACATACAAAAATCAGTGAATCGTCGTTTCGGGAGATGAAGAAATTCAGCATACTCTTGTGATCCATCCTCAGTCTTATGTAGCTGCAGTACCAGAGGCCTCCTTGTCACAATCCCTGAAATTAAAATTCATACAAAAAAACACATCAAAATCAAATATTTTTTACACCAAAAATATTCATAAAAAGAAAGAAGAAAAAGAAAGGCACAAACCTGATCCTCTGGGAAGAAAGTCTCGACCGACAATGCTTTCCAGCACCGAAGATTTTCCTGAACTCTGCTCTCAATCAAATCACAATTTTATAAATATTTAATTTTTATCCCTAAAAAATCTCGCCTTGTCTCTCCCTACAACGGTTTCCCTAGATTCTCTCAAATTTCTTCATAACTAGAAAAAGTTTCAAACTTTGCCATTAGTTGAAAAGAAAACATAAGAGAAGAAAGAGCGTGTTGTTACCTGTCCCCCAACGACGGCAACAGTGGGAAGAGCTTCCCAAAGGGAAGAGAAGGCGTTATCACCGCCACCGTAGTCTCCGAGAACTGTACAAGCTCTCTGGATTCTATTTACTAACCCTATCAAGCTCTCCATGGTTGTCATCTTCGAAATTTTCAAAAACCCTTATAATCAACTGAAATTTTGTTGTTCTAAAAGAAGTAAGAGCAGAGAATTTTCAGCTCAGGAAGGAGCGAAGAAGGAAAGCAGGTGGTTGACTTCAAACGGACGCTGGATTCCTATTTTGAAAGTGGTTATAGAAAAAATGTTTGGTTTTGAGGTGCCTGTTTTGTTATAAGCGTCACGGTTGTTGTCCTAATCCAGTGTATGTTCCGATGACTGTGAGTCCTTGTTGGCTCCTATGGCTTGGCTTTAATGACTTTACCGTCACGCGTTTGAGATTTTTTGAATTTTGAACGTTGGGAAAGTTGTGGACCCCATTTTTTTATAGCATTGCAGAAAGAAGCCGTTTTTCTTGTAAACATCCACTCTTTATATATATATATATATATATATATATATATATATATATATATATATATATATTATTTTATTAAAACTGATTAATATCTCAATTAAAATATTTATTTAAAATGATTAAAAAACCAAAATTAAATAAATTTCGATTATTTGATTTCGATTTGATTTTAAAATTTTTAATCCGATTTTCATTCAAAATCAAATTATATGTATTTATTTTTTTAACTTTTGGTTGTTATTTGAACTTTAATATTTCGATTTACAAGATATTTAAATAATTAATAATTTTTTATTGTTGTATATTTTATATATAAATTAATAAATATACATGACTAGTTTTTACTTTTAGACATCGATATTAAGAATTACGTTATGAATCAAGTTTTAGATTTGTCATTCATGTTTTTTTCCCCTCCATAGTCAAAGTATTTTTTGGATGAATTTAGGTGTCAATCACTACTAAATTTTATTAAATCTTTTTTTCTAATAAATTTTTTAAAATGCAGATATCTTCGTATCCATTTATGTTGGTTTTATGATTTCCACTAAAAAAAGTCTATGAATGAAGCAAATTTTCTTTTTGTAACTGTCAAATCTACTTGTTGATGTCTGATTGGTTATTCATCTTGTTCGAAATAGTATGTTCATAATAAATATTTTTATTCATTTCTCGCAATTTTTTCTTAAATCCAAATGGAGATGATTGTACGAAAAGCAAACTCAGGAGGTGTTTCCTTTGGATTGGATTTTCAAATTGCAAGCATCCACATCCTGTTCCAATTTGATGGGTCGCACCTGAAAATATATTCTTATTTTATGAATGCATTAGCTAATAAAAAGGAAACAGACAGACATTTCCAGTGTCTGTTATTGTTTCTGTCCATAAGAATTAACTATATTAAGAAAGCTCATTTTCATACACCACACTTTGGAATGTTCTCAACTTTATCGCATCAAATCACGACCGGGTCCAACTTAAATTAATAAACTCCTGCGTCTATCATAGAAGATTACTTAATTGAATTAGAACCAAGCAACTGCGAAATATTACGAACCAAATTGACTCTGAATCAAATGATTTTTCTTTCTTTTTTTTAATCATTTTCTTGGGAACTTAACGAAGAAGAATAAAAAAAGACGTCTGGATTTTAATCCATTGCCCCTTTAACACGATACGAAAGATAATACAACTTCCATTTCCATAACAATTCTCTAATCCAGTTTAGAAAAAAAAAAAAAAAAAAAAAAACGTCAAATCCTACCGTACATCCGAACGATTGCAACAGCAACAGATAACTTTATATTGGACGATCCGGTGCCTTCTCTTTTACATTAGGCATCCAGTGCCTTCATGGTTCCAAAGCAGTTGTTTTCTAGTAAATTATTAATTTACACCTAATTTTGAAAAACAAATTAATTCATCCCTCCTGTTTAAAAAATTTATTATTTATTTATTTGTTTGGTTCATTTACAAAACTTAATAAATAAATAGATAGATATTATAAAAAGGCTGATGAACAAAAAAATGTTTTAAAATAAAACTATTAAATTAAACATAGTTAATACTGGTTAAGAACTAAATAATTAATTTGTTTTTCAAAAATTAAAAGGACTAATTTATAATTTACTCCGTTTTTTGGTTAGTTAATTAGAGAGAGAGAGAGGGGGGGGGGGGGGGTTTAAAAACAACTTCTCCAACAAGACAGAAAAACAAGCACAGCTCAAAGTTTTCAGCTGCAATCACAACGCAATGATGAGAGCATTCAAATTTGCAGGATATATGCGTTGCAAATTTAAACAAGACAATTTACAGTTGCTTGAGACCAAGCGTAAAATTATGAGCCACCACTAAGGCATACTTTTACAAGAATCGCATAGTTGAACAAGCTCAAATTTACATCCATTTAAGATGTTTTTAGCTAGCTTACTTTTACAGGTAGGGAGCTAGTGGAGGAGGAGATTACATAAAACTGAAATGTAGGCCCACAATAAGAGCCAACTTATCAACAATTTAATGGAGTGGATAGCATACAACAATGCTCTTGCCAAGCTGCAATATAAAAATTATGATAAAATATTTGAACGCCACTTTCTCCCGCTGGCAAGGCTTTATGACAAATTTGGTGCATATTTCTCAGGTTTCAGGCAGTCAGGTTTCAATCCTTTCTATAGACCAATGTTGGGTAATCTGGACTCCACATGTTGTTCTTCACATATTCTACAATTTCCTCCTGTTAAATCATGTGTGTGTGTCAAATTTAAACCATTCTAGAATTGGCCTTGCATTAGAGATGCAGTCCAGATCACCAAGATTAGAATAACTGATGAAAAAAAGGTTTCAACTTCCATACTATTTAGGTTCAGTTTCTTTAGTATCAAATTATGGTGAAATGAGTTATCCCTGGAATTCTCAACCGCTTGTATCAGCCAAGATGAAACAGAAGTCAGCTTCCAAAATGCATCCGCTAAACTTAATCATATTTGACTATCTCACATTAGACTACAACACACCTACACTAATTTCACGAGCAAGCTGACCTTTCGATGTCATTCACATTCCACTGCAGATATTAGGAATAAGTGCAAAAATCTGACTAAATAATTCAATAACCAATCAGAAACCAATGCTGTTCCCAAATATTTAGACATCAATGTCATTTCAATTTTTAGACACAACAACCAAGCTTCATTGCAAACTAGCTGGAGTTGGCTACATGGATCTTTTTGTGCCATTCACATGCAAAGATTTAAACGGCTACCTGACTTAAGTCCCAAGAGTACATGTTTAGGTTAAAGAAAATTGCTCTTAATTTAATAACTAGACCATCGATATGGATGCAAACAAGAAGGTCAACTTCAAGCACAATGCTAATGCTATAATAAAGGGTTTTCAAACAAATAGTAAACGCACCTGGCTGAGTTTTCGGAGCTCTCTAGCATCCAATTCACGGTATCCTTCTGCAAGATCCTCTTCTATGGCTTCCTTCACCACAGCTGCAGCTACTTCCTTTGTTATATCTCGTATTCTGCAAGTATGTATGAAGCTATGAAGTCAAGAGCATGCATAACACCTTTAGATTGCAAAGCTTGAAACAGCTCACTGGATAGAAAATGTAAGCGAAAAGAGCCTGATTACGTACCTAGATGTTGAAGGGTATATGATCCCTTTTAGAACCTCCTCTTCCGTCATATATGCAGCTAGGCTGTAATTTTAAACTTGAAGTTATAATCAATATCGAAATGTAATTACCAAAAATAGAGTAAAAAAAGCATCTTTCTTCATGATTCTTAAATTACACAACAGATACATTACAAATTTGCTTTCCTAGTTACATGACAGTCTATCTTAAATTTTTTGCAAAACCAACACCAACAGATTTAATTCAAAATATTTATAAATTCTTGAACTGCCATGAATGATGAACTGTTAGTAATTTCACAATTTGTAGATGATGCTGTAATTGCCTACTTCAGAAAAGGTATATGAGAAATACCATTCGGCTGCGGCCTGTAGCATGCCATCAGAGACGATCCTAGACCCAGAAAGTAGAGTCCCAAGTCCGATACTGCACGATAGATACATCAATAGTTGTAAAAAAAAAAAAAAAAAAAATTGAATAAGTATGACTATAATAGTTTCCCTTGAGAAAGTTTAACTGGGAAAACTGACCCTGGAAAGAGATACATGTTGTTTCCCTGGTTGCAGTGGCCAATATGACCATTTCCTGCAACAACAAAAGTTTAGAAAAACTCTTCCAATCATGTTAATATTTTCAGGTAAACTCTTATTTGGAGAAAATAAAGAGACAGACTATAAACATGCTTTGCATGTCTAAATTAGAATTATCCTTCCCAAGTTGAAATGTAGCAGAAGACTACTTTCAAGCATGAGGAAAAATCACAGAGCATTGGTGCTTCATTAATTCGAAGAACTATTTATTCAAGATCAAATTAAGACATTTAAACCCTAATGCATACCAAAATCCACATCTTTGAATGGACTTCCACTTGCGAAAATAATATTGTCACCCACAACGGAAAAGGCTTCTTCAGGAGTGCATTCAGCTGTAAAGCCAAAGGAAAAAAGAAGAGAAAATAGGACAGAAACAAGAAACATACATTAGGTTGATTCAAGAAACAGCACAAAAAGCGGGCACTCTTTCCTACAAATAGCAAACAAAAAAAAAAGGGGGGGGGACTTTATACCATTTTTTGTGGGATTTGACATGGCAAAGATGGCTGGTCTAGTCGAAGTTGAACCTTTGAGGGCCTCTAATACCTACAAGTATTCACAACATCCAGTTTATATAAAAAGTAATTTATCACTTGTATTATCCTTTATATATGTGTGCAAAAGAATCTCAAACCACATCAAAAAATTTGGTGATAAATTCCCATGTAACATATTATGTATCAGGTAAGATTTTGTTCCAATTATCACCAGATTAGATGGGTTTCCTACCTCCTTTGAGAACAAACCCCCAACTGCAGACAATCCAAGAAGCACATCAGGCTTCACTTCTCGTACCTGGTTAGGGAAGATCAACCAAGATGAGGACAGCGATGAAAAAGCAATAATCTTTTAAAAAGTAAGGTGATTTTGTCCTAAATGGTTTCACCCAGATAGCCATAGCTTTACATACAACATTAAATCAAGGGAGAAACCTTTACGCACCACTTCTGCAAGACTGGCACCTTCCCTTAATCCTTGACGACTAGCTTCTTTGACCTTCCTTGCAAATGGCAGAGCTTCTGGATCAATATTTTCACGTTCCTCTGTAATAAGACCCTGGGTATACACAGCAACAAATTCAATTATCATGTGTATCATGGAAAGGGCCTCTGAAATATGAATGACAGCAGTTTTACAATACCTTGCCAACAGTGAAAGCTGTTTCATAAAACAGAAATTGTGCAAATCTAATGGATATAGATCTAAAATAATAAAACTTGGAGCTTATGATCATGCAGTAGTACACTTGAGTATATACTTATCAATGATGCATTTGCATCATATCTGATGAAAAATAACTGGCAGGCAGGGCAGTGTGAGTTTTTCTTAGCTATCAAAATATTACAAACAAGAAATGCCCTTTTAAAAATACAATGCATACATGACATAGAATTTTAGGCCAATAAGTACCATTTCTCACCTTAGCATCAACTACCCAGAACTGTCTTCCTGCACTTTCATAAGCAGATTCATTATTTCCAAGCATTCTAGCCATTGTTTTCCTGGCAGCATTGAGAACCCCTATTCCTGCACTGCAGATGAGCAACGATTATGCAAACAAGCCTTAGTCTATTGTACCATATGAGTAAGGGCCTAATGCCACTTCACAAATTCAACAGATATCATTTTACTTGGTCTGATATCTTTAACTGAATTACCAGCTTCAACCAAGTCTCAAAGAGCATAAAAAGTTCACATCTTAACTATTCAAGGCAACTTTCAGTTTAGTTTCCATCATTCAAGGATAATTCTAACTCCTAGACTATGCTTATTCGTACACTTATCTTGTCTCAACTTTTATATTGCAAACAAGAGGAAACAGATCAATGGGTTGCAACTTAAAAAAATTTTATTACTACTAAAAACAATCTTGACTTTCTGGGCGTAAATCCAGTATCAAAATGATAAAAACATTGACCATTTCATCTCCAGTCTACCCAAAAGAATTTATACTTTGGTGTTGACGAGGATGGACAAACAAGTTACCTTCCAGCACCAGCAACAACAATCTTTTGCTTAGGAAAATCAATCATTGGCCTTCCTTGTGCTCTTACAGCTCCTAAAAGACCAGCTATAGCAACCCCTGCCGTTCCCTGTGCCATGAATTGCAATTAAATCATGCAAGCAGATCAAATACTGAAATGTTGAAACTAAGAAAATTTTCATGCGTATAGAATACAACATTTGGTTTATTAATTCTGCAAACTATTCATTCATGGCAAGTCAATCAACAGAATAGAAAACACACTAACGGTAATGGCAAAAATTACAAGCAGTGGTGACAAAATAAAGGCAAAAAAGGTCAATCCATGCATTGAATAAGTATGATACAAACAAGGGAAACAAGCACTCGAACCGTATTCATGGTAGAGCAAACATGTCCTTTCACTGAGCTTGGTCTTGTCAAATCATTGGGAAATCATCACAGCCATATAGCATATATCGTACTGCAAGTGGGCCCCATCAATACCCTCGTTACCACTCTTTATGGAGGTTTGTCATGAAGGCAAAAGAAGGGAATGGGTTGCAGTGCCATTATAACTGTTCCATTGTTCAGTTGAGTTTTATGAAGGGGGATTGTTAATGGGATTAATAATTAACCCCAAAAGCTTTGTGTGAGGGGCAAGGTGATTAGAAATTCTAAAGAGGGAAAAGGATGTGTATTTTTTTCCTTCTCTCTTCCTCAAGCTTATAACCCTTTTTTTCCTCGCTTTTATTTACACCTTGCTATTGACCACCACTAATGCACACTTTTTAACATTTTCTTTAATTTTCAAATCAAGGAAAAATTAACTTAATCCTCTTCTAAGCTACTTTCAAAACATTCTAAATAATTAACTTTTACATTCTTCACAAATACAAACAATATAGTTATGATAATGGGCATTATTGATTATAATTATCCTCTTATATTTAGTCTTTGAGTATGCTTTAAGGCTATATGTGCTGAATTAAGTTTATTTTATGCTTGAGAAGATTGGAGGCAAAGGAGCAAAAGTCTGTTAATATGGGTGAAATTTCACTGCTGGCAGATTGACTTTTTGAGAAAGACGTGGGATTTTCACATCCTTAGAGCTCCAAGACGTAAAAGAGGCCTTCATAGGGTTTGGAGTGGACATCTTAAGCTTTCTAGATTGATTTAAACGCACATTTCCATTATGTTTGAGCTGTCAAAGTTGGTTGCAAAGTCAGGTCAGGAATTTGGATCCCGTGACAGTTCAGAACACTGCCTACTGTTTAGATCATATCTAGAGTTTTACACATTGGATTAAGATGATTCAAAAGCCTCCAAAAAGAAGACATACAGGCCTACGACTTTTGTGAAGAGCCCAAGACCAAAATCAACCGCCATCTAATCTGAAATCAGTCCAGAAGATACAACACCGAACTTGGAGTCATATTCAGCCACAAGTCCTTATTAATTTCGGACACAATCCTAAATAGGACTTGTGGGCTGGCATATCTATCTATACACATGTATAAACAGCCTCTAGGGCTGCACATTCAGAAAACATTAGGTTGAGAAGAGAACTTATTTTATTTTGTGCGATTTTATTAAAGATGCAAGGCTAAACTTTTCTTTTTCGGTTCAAGAGAAATGTGAATTCGAAGAAGAAGGTGTGAGACTTTTGATTTGATCTTATCATCTATTCATATTTACTATCTCTTATTCTTCTGAGTTAATTGAATAATATTCTTGTTTGTAATTGCTTAGGAAGGCCTACTAGGCAATTGTGATCAAAGAATAATTGCTAGATTAGAGTTTATAATACGTAATAGTTATAAAATTTATTCATAAGTAGCAATCAGGTTTAGTGATTTCTAATATTGACATCATTATAAGTCTAGAAGAAAAGAGTACAGATTAAACCAACTGAGCTTGTGTGTTAATTATCTGTTTCGGTTGTTCTTTAATTCGTTAATGCTATTGTTGAATTACATGAAGAGAGTTTGTCCTATATTGTTCGTCAATAAGGATTGAAATTGCATGCTTTTTGTGTTTGATGATTAAGTAAGAAGAACAAAGTTAATCTATACTTTTTCGGTTAATATAGACCAAATGGTAAATCATAAATAGTCTGTAAGTATCATCAATGATCAGCTCAAATTATCTGTGCAATAATCTACCTTTTTAATGCCATGCAAATTTTTTATTAAGAGAATGAGAACTTTGGGGATTACAATCATTTCCTATAGCCCTTGTTATTTTCAAACTCAATTTTCAGGGTGAAGAAGGAAGTAGGCTCTTTGGTTTGAACTATAGAACCTACTTTGTGTTCCTTCTGTTTTGCATATGTACCTCACATCAAATCTTGCGCTCTTTCTATTCCATCTTTTTCATTTTTCTTTTCTTTTCTTTTTTCTTTTTTTTTTATAAACTAATTCACCTATTTCTTACATCAAAATTATCATAAACCTAAAACATTCTCAATTAATAACTTTTTAAGGCCTTCTTATAGAATGGGGGTTACAAGGCAGCAAAAATAATCATATTTAGTTACTATATTAACAAAGACCAAACAAACTAGTCGTTGCTTTCTACATCAACAAGGATAATCCAACAACAGTAACAACATTAAGCCCATAACCTATAAGGGTAATGTGACTGACATTGACAACACCCCCTGCAATACGCTACAAGAGAATAATGAAGTGCTATATTATTAAATATAGATACTTAGTTACCTGGACATCATCGTTGAACATTCTGTAGGTATTCCTATATCGCTGCAATAACTTGAATGCCCACTTACTTTGGAAATCCTCGAACTGAATAAACATACATTAGTAACTCTCAAAAATAGTGAAAAACAAGAGTGAGAGACCATCAGGGTCTGACAAGATTAACTATACATCAAAATTGAAGTTACCTGCACAATCACATGTGGCCAGCGAGTAAACACTGCCTCCATGAATTCATCAATGACAGCGATATACTCATCACCGTCAAGACGGTGTTCTTGCAATCCCAAATCTATTGGCAAAGAATAATATACATGTCCCCTTGTCATTGAAACAAATTAAAGACATCTAACAAACAGTAACAAAATCCTAATAACTATAGTGATAATACGTTTGACAATGTCACAGTAGGTGAACAGCTCTTTTATAAATAAAGATGCCATTTCTTGTGATGTCCTAAAATCTTCAACATAATCAGATAGAGATATAAACTTACACAAGGGGTCTTTGAGCAACTTCTCATTGTTAGTTCCAACATCAATCATGACAGGAAGAACCTAGTACAGGAAAGAAAACCACAACAAAGTTCAATAAAAAATAGTCTAATTTACTGTAGTAAAAGATTAAAGATGAAATTAAGTATGGCCAATCATGAATCTATAAGAAAAGAAATCCAGGAATATAATCTACAGTGAAAATGCTTGGTGTAACATTTATCAACATCATTTATTCCTGATACATGAATGATTACTAGAAATCGAAGAATTGACAATGCACACCCAGATGAAAACTTGTGTCATCAATTTAGCACAACTTCTGGTTAAAGATTTGCCATCTCATACAAGTTCCATCTGTTTTACGTCAAGCAATACATGGAGTAACTCCCAATATAGCAGTAAAAGCAAGACATGTAGGCGGATTGACTCATTAAGTTCCCATTGAAATAGGATCCACACAAGGAAAAGCACTTGCCATTCGTTGGTTATTAGGAGCATCCCGAAAACGTCCGGGTCGAAATATGGTTTTCAAATTAAGTTCCGAATTAGTGGATGCTGCCAAAGGTAGTGGCGATGCCATACGCAAAAAGGAAGAGACTCATAGAATGGCAGAGGCAAATAGAGCTTTTGCACACTTTGATAACTATATCCAAGAAGATTCTGTTTCAGAAGACTCCTTACACATAAAGACTAACATATTGTTTCAGAAGGTGGTCACAATCAAAAGATCATAAGGTTGGTATTGAGAACATGACTAACATATGAACGAAACATATTTGCTGCTTTTCTGGAAAATTTATCATATAAGCAGGTAAAAAAAAATGCTTATTCAATAGAGACAACATATAAACAAGAATATACCCTTTGGGGATTTATCCCAGCAGCAGCAACATACAAATCTAGCTTTCCAATAGCAATACCAATTCCCTGAACTCCAAGATCTCCAAGACCCAATATCCTGCTTCCATCCGTAACAACAATCATGTCAACCTGTAGTTATCAAGAGAAAAAAGAATAGTAACTAAAATCTGCAATTGATTCTCTAAAGTCTAAGGTCCTTGAATATACTTCATCAAGCCATCCTGATGGCCCTGGCAGCAGTTATAACATAATAATTTCTTTCCAGTTTTTTTGTTTCTAGTCCCTCTCCCCCTCCTTGCTCTTGTCATTCCATGGAAAATAATAATTGAAGAAAGAAAGAAGTCCTATTTTAAATGCAAAATACCTGTTCGGCCGGCCAGTTATACACCATGGACATCATTTCTCCACGGTCTTCAGCACTGAAATACATTCCCCTTGGTCTTCTAAACAAACCACTGTAATTTTGGCAAACAAGACCAACAGTTGGGGTATAGACTATGGGTGCATATTCCTCAATGTTGGCAATTAGAACCTGTCGAATTCAGAAATAGAGTTATGACCTAGTATCTAATAGACAAAATAAAGAAGCCTATGAGGTTAATGCGCATAATGTCATAGGCTTCCCCAAACAGTGTGATATACAAGCACGGCATTCATCCTCTGATAAAGTGAAAAGACTGCACGACAAATTAGTGAATCTGAAAGTGCATAGCAGAGAAGTGCTTCCTAGTAGACGCCCAAATCAATTACAGAGGATGATGGAGAGAGAGACAAGTTGATACTTAACAAATAAACAGACACATCTTGAACAAAAGCTGTCAACCAACTAAAATTATAATGGGATGTCTCGCTGTGTGCAAACCAGAGGCCAGAGGAACAACAAAGAAAGAAAGACAGAAAATATATTGACGAGGAGCAGGGCACCTTTACAGAAGCAGAAGGGATTCCCCCCAGTGGTGTTTTAGCAAACTGAAAGCAACTATGTGAACATCCAACCTTTTACAATAAATCTCCCATTTCTTCCTCTAACCAACAAGCATTATTAACAAGTCTTATAGCTAGTCATCAATCAATCACCGTGAACTGACCATAAAAACGGACTTTGTCATGAAATTCCTCTGCTCGTATGACTCATAATCTGTGTGACATGAAAAGAAATCAGGTTCCAACCTAGGAACAGAGAGCAGGAAATGGAAACTCCGCTAATGCCTACAAATTGCTAATTCAGAGTCCAAAGCATTTAATCGATGAATGGACTAAAACAGCAGAAATTCAATCCAGGGTAAAGAGTACCCGTCAAGCAGTATAAACCACCAAGCCTCCTAAACATTTTATTTATGAGAATGAAAATTCCAAAAATCAAATAACTTCACTAAAAACATTTCACATCACGAACTATAATAACTCGAATGTAGAATCCGAGAAAAAGTAAAATCACCTTGTAGTACATCGTTTCATTTCTATCATGTAATCGATTGAGTATCCGCCACTTTGCCAGCGCATATGGATCAGATGGTCCATCTCTTGCTTGCACTTCAAGCCTCTTCAAGTCAGCCACTGTCATTTATCAAAAAACATTTCCACTCTCATAATTAACTAAATAAAAATAACAATAATCCAAATACACAATTCACTTAATATTCTGCTTTAAATAAATCCATAACCAAAAGAAAAAAAATTGAAGCAGCTTAAAATTAGAAAAGAAAACACACTGAAGCGTTGAATTTGCTGCTCAGAAGACATAACATTGGGAGGAAGAAGTCCCCGTAGATCAAGACGGTCGCGTTCAGTCATAGAAAACGCTGTTCCCTTCATAAAATTAAAATAAAAAATAAAAGAAGTTGGCAATATTGAAATCGGAAAGCGAAGGAAGTGTAAATGACAATGATAATAATTGAATTGTTAATAATACCTTGTTGAACCAGGGATCGTGAAGAATATCAAGGCTCCGTTTGTGAACAATGGTGGGACGGTGGCCCTCCAATGTAGTGAAAGATCTAGTAGCCTGCATCAGGGCCACCGGATTCGTCATTCTTTGTTTGAGCCGTTTGAGCAGAGACGAAGACGCTCTGATCTGATTGGAAAAGTTTGACATTCTTCCTTTGTGAAGATTGACTATTAGCCAAAATAAAAATTGAATAGAAGACAAATAGTTATACTTCAAAGAACCCTAATTTAGGTAGTGGAAAGGGTAGTGAGTAGCTGGGAGAGAAAGGGCAGGGAGATTTTTTTTTTTTTTTTTGGGAAAAGTTGAAGAGTCAGAGGAGTCTGCGTTCTCGATTTTTATCTCTTCGATAATAAAACTAGTCGTTGAAGTCAAAATGTTTACCCTGTCATTTTTTTTTTTTGCCTTTTTGCCCTTTTTATTTATGTCTCCATGCAATGCCATGTGGCCCGATCCAATCAACCGAAGGCAACTTCCTTAGGCTTTGTGAAAAGGACTTCGCAAAAGCTAGAACGGATGACGATCAATGGTCAATAAACGACGTTCATTCATTCAGGGAATCCAGTGTCGTCCAGAGCAGAAGAAACTTGCTCAGTTTTGACAATTAGTTCTTTGCATCAGATACCAGGCAAAAAATAAGGATGGCATTCAATGTCACTGGCTTCAAGAATGCGAATCTCTTCCCAGAGTGCATATAACTTGAAGACTTTAGCATCCCATGTCCAATCGTCCACCCCTAAAGATTGGACAGTTGTGTAGTATATCGCCATAGCATGAAAAACCTTTAATCGGATTTCCATCGGGTGTGTTAGTCGGGAGGGATAGAGTATTTTATTTGTTCGGTTAGAAAGATAAAGATTTAAGAAAAGATGCAAATGAGAGGTCGGAAAGATCCCCTTATTCTTTTTCATTTGTAATTTTCTTTCTTTCTTTCAAATTTGGATGAATTGATTGTCATATCTTCCTCCTTTATCAGTTAAACAATTAGAAGAATAGACTAACATTCATCATTCTCTTTTATCCATACATTCACTTTATGCCTTCTGTCATCTTCCAATTCATGTTGTTTAACAAGGTCTGTTTGCCACCGGTACGGAGTGGTGCACACGTGCATTACGCGAGTGAAAAAGCTATCCTCGACTCGTTCTATTGACTGAAACCAATGGAAGGGGTTAATTGAAAATTTTCGATATGTGGGAGGGTTAATTGATAGAAAGTTTAGGTTCGGGGGTTGATTCATAATACACAACATATATGCAGAGTTGATAGTGCAAATCAATATACAGGCCTCGAAATCTAAATCCACCATGGGTTAAGTTGGGCCTCAAAAGTAAACGTAGAAATTGGATTGGGTCATGATATAGCCCAGGAAGTAACTATGCATGGATGAATCTAATTGAAAAGCAAAGAAAGAGACTTATTTATAAATTTTTATACTCGAGGGATATTTCTGTCAATGCGAAGGAAACAAGGCAATTTCCTCTCGTGCCCGCTTGCCCATTCTTTGGGCAAGAAGAACGCGTCCTTCCTTTTCTTTTTCTCTAGATAATAATAATAATAATAATAACAATTGTACGAAGCTTGAATCTTTGACCTTGAGGTGTTGCAGTTGTACCTTATTAGCTAAACAGCACCAGCGTCAATCAAGAAACGGAACGCGGTTGGCTAATTTAAGGCTCTAACCGTCACTTAAGTCAACGATAATAATACCTCGACGGTCTATTTGAAGCACATAAACAACTCACTAATCATCGGCGTTTTCTAAGGCGGAACAACAAGATGAATATGGAAACTTTTAGTTGAATATAATGTAATTAAGAAATCATATACATGCCACGACAAGATGTAAATGACTTCATGATTGGGATATTGATTAATTAATTGCTTACCATTTGAGTTTTGATGGATAATGTTCAAAACAAAAATGTTAAATAGATTGCTCTTTCGAAGGGTTGTGACTTTTCAAGGATTCCTCGGTTTCATCCAAAAACCAGTGGCAATCCCTGTGGCTTCAGCACTCATTGAATAATCATAGGCTATAATTCAATCATTTCTATTGTTGGAATAGTAAGTTAATAACTAGTTCCAGTATATACATGCAGCACTTCGTTTTTTTTTTTTAACGATGTAATTAACGATGTAAGTTAAGGGCAGGGAATGGTTCCTCGTTACTTATAATGTGTGTTTGGTTTCTCTTGTATATTTAATTGCCAACCGACGAACATTTAGTCCAGCTTGCTTATTCTCTGCTAAGAGTTTCTCTACGCACCACATGTCTGGTTATGCTCTCTGAATAGTTCACATAAGGAAAAAAGAAGAAGAAGAAGAAGAAGCATAAATCATATGTATAACTGGCTTGAATAAAAATTGAACATTTAGATTGAATCTCGATTAAAATAAAAATTGATCTAAAAATATTTTTTTATGTGTAAATATACATAAAAAGAAGTTTCATTAACCGCTTGTTTTCTATTTTTTTTCTTGAAAAAAAAAATAATAACTGGCTGATTTATATATAGAGTCAAATTATTGGTTCCATATGGGCCATGCTACTCCAATTTGGTACACCGTACACAAAGCTAGGATATTTCCCAGATGAGAGGGTCTATTTCTACAAAATTGTAAAATAACTCACGTGTTTTGTGTTAATTAGAATATTGTTTTTGAATTTGAATGAACTAACAATGCATTGCGTATAACACACTCACTCTCTCTCTCTCTCTATATATATATATATAGTTATAGTTATAGTTATGAAGCACGCAAATAAGGCTTTGAATATCCAAAACAAGGATTTAACTAAGAAAATACATGATTAATAGCCAAGTTACTTAGAATGGGTTTGCAAAGAAAGCAACTCTTTTCCTGGTTTGACGACCTTGTCTGAACTTCTTGTGACTTATGGAAAAGGATGTCTGGATACATAACAGGTTGGTTTTATTTTCCATGGAACATTTTTCTTTCAAGACCAAGTTTATAAATAGCATGTAATTGCTGCCTTTTTCTGTATTTTAGCTTTTCTTAAATAATTAAGAAGGGGTTGAATTTAAGAAATCAGAATAGTCTAAAACCTAAATAATGATTTATACGTTGTATTTTTATCTTCTACTTGGCATTCTGATGGCTGATCTTGTTTGTTTTTCCTAGCTATACACGCACATATCGTTTAAAACATACAATATTTTTCAAATTCATTCACTAATATTTAGAAGTTATTTGGAGAGGACATACACAATGCAGTACACCTTGTTAGTTCCACTTTGGTATCTCCACCAGGAATATTGCTATGTATTGTGTGTATTCCACGATATATATATATATATATATATATATATATAATGGTGCCAAAATTCCCAGCATGTGCATTGCAGCATTAAGGAAACAGAACGGCATGGAGCAAATGTGCTGTTGCAGAGAGCTAAGGAAATTGAAGATATTGGTAATTTTTGGTACGAAGTAAATGCAAACATATTTGATTATGCAATGCTATTCAAATTTCCAAATTAATTGTGAAAACGAGAACCAGCTCAGCTTGTCATTACAATTTCAGTCTAATTTTCAATATATTTTTACAAGTTTAATTATTTTTATTTATTAATAAAGATAGAATCATTATTCAATCTATTATTCTATTAGATATTCTTACGTGAGAAATTTAAACCAAATATGATTTATTAATAAATAAATAGATATGGTAAAAGCTTAGCATCACATAGCTGGGAATTTGTTGTTGTTGGTAGTGGTGGTGGTGTTTAATTTTTAAATTTGTTAAGATAATAGATTGAAGGATGACCAAAAATATAGTAAAGATTAAGATTAATTAAACTTGTAAAAACAAATAAAAAACTAAATTTAAAATATGCAGACAAATTGAAATAATTCTACGGTGAAAAGCTGCCGACGAAGTGGAATGGATGATAATTAGGCTGGTAGTAGTGCGCACTTTGAAAGGATATCTGGCATCATGCGGGGCACAGTAATAAAGGGTCCTGGGTTTTGACCTTATCGAAGAGATAATAAAACTTGCTTGCTCAAGTAAAAAGCATCCCTAATCTCTTACACATGTATCTTGTGATCATAATGGATGTAATAGGCCAGAAATGCTAATGACATGATGAGACCAGGACCTTAATCTTAAGGCCACGAGAGTCGGTAATACTGGTAGTTAGATAAAGCAGAGACTACCCATTTAAACCTACACGAAAATGACTGAAATTATTAAAGAGCCAAAGCCACGTCCACATTGATTTGTCCTGCACGTCACGGAAAAAAAATCAGGTGATGGTAATTGATAGGTGCATCTATGAGTGATAAATATTCTATGTTGAAAATGAACGGAAAAAAATAAGGTATATATATATATATATATATGTGGATTTATAATTTATTAGTCTAGATTTTTTAATTAAATTTTTTTTTCGAGAGCTCCACGCATGTAATATAAACCTCTGTGTAAGTCCAAGTGATTCTTTAGTGCAAATCTCTCTAATAAATAATAGTTAGTGGATGCTGATTATTTGGTTTTTCCTATAATATTAACTTTTGTTCTGTTTTGTGTATAGAGTCATGAGATATCTTTGTTGGGTTAAAGATGACTTAAAATATAGAGTATCGTTATGTTCTTACATAAGTTGACTCTTCATTGGCTATTCGATTAGTTAAGACAATGAAAAGAAAGATAAGCTCTTATAGTACTTTGACTGCAGCAATTCAAGAGATCCTAATAATGAGCTGATAAATTCATCTCACTCATAGTTATAGTGAATCAAATAAATTGATAAATCGGTTAGCATCTTCTGTTTTTTTCTTACCTTTTAGGGTCATATAATTTTCACATATATATATATCGAGAAATTATATGAAACTTCTTCAAAAGAATATCAAGGGAATAGCTTTCTCGAGATATTATACTAGCTAACATATTGGATAGGGCTAAGGCTTTTCATTTGATTAAAAAACAAAAAAAAAATCAATGACTTGTTTGAATACGAGTAGACGTGGGAAGTGTTTGCATAACCAATGACAGAATATTTGCTAGGATAAAATATATACACAATGAGGATTGATTTTTATGGTTGTGTTCTTAGATGAAGGATGATATAGATAATTAGAAAAGCGGTAAGGCACGAATCCTATATCAAAAGCGATGGAAAGGTATGAGTTGTTGGATGAGCAGGCTCTTGTAAGAGTAGTGAGTTCTCAATGGCATTTTAGTATTTGAATGGTAACTACTGCACCCGAAATTATTAAATATTTTTGTTGAACAAAAAGTTGTGTTCGAATGGTCTCAACACGCATATAAAAGAAATTGTCAGGCGCACATGTAAATTGAAAATATTTCACACTGAAAGAAAGAACAAGTTATTTTTCTATATAAATTTATAATCTATTAGTTTAGACTTTTAAGTTAAATAATTGTGTATTTTTACATATAACATTCACATGTACATACCTATCTACAAATCCAAATACACATCACCCCCATAATATTTAGTACATCAAGCAATTAATTTCTTAATTTCTAGTCTGTTTCTTCACTTATTGTTTGTTACCATTTGTATACAATGAGTGACATAGCTAGCTATACAATATAACGCCATGCTATAAATAAAATCAACCGGCCTCTTGGCGGTCTATCTTAAATACTTACTTTATTTATCAAGCACTATTTTTTATTCCAATCAAATCCCATAGAATCAAATGAGTTTATTCCTGCCTTTTTTCCAAAAAAAAGTTCTATGACCGTATAGTATCCTCAAGCCAATTTTTACATAATAAAACTAAGTCAAATTCTTTAATTACATAATTTTAAATTTGAATCCTAGAGATGTTAGCGTTTCTCTTCAATTTTTTTCCCCTCTAAGCAAACAGAAAACTCTTAAGTTTATTTAAGATTGGAGCTGTCATCAGTCTAACCAACAGCAGTTGGCTCGGACCCAAAGCAGCTTTTACTGTTCAGAAGCTATGATTTCAGGCTCGAGTGAACAAGGCACTTGGCCGAGTTATTACCAACAATGCTTATTGCAGGGGACATGCTCTTTGACGAATTATTAGAGTCAAGTATTGATGGGTCAACTTCGGGGTAAGGGTTTTGGTTGCCAAAACACACACCACGAAAAAAAAAAAAAAAAGGCGAAAAGCCCACACCAAGCCCATTATCAAAAGCCTATTTGATACTCAAGATCAGACCACAAAATTAAGGCACGCATGGAAAGGAAAAGCTCACTCCGACGCTTGTCAGCAGCGCGTGCATGTGTTTACAAACTGACAAGTAGTCGTGTGATACAAGCCCAATATGATTGCTCTGCTGGATCGCGCCCACATGAGAGGACACCTACTTTTGTCCCCAATTAACGGATTTAGTTAAACCACGCGCCACTGAAACTGGGCGTGATATTACAGATACTAGTAAGTATTGCAGAATTCTTACATTTTCCAATTGGCCAGTCAATCCAATCATTTATTGCAAAAGTAAAAGATGGTAACAAAAATTTTGAATGCTAGTACTTTTATTTGAGTGGATGAATTTTAATCGCAAACAAGGCCACAAATCTCAATGGGATGAGCTAATCATTAAAGCACTAACCAGGTAAAGAGTTCGAAAAAGTCAGCGCACCTCAAATTCATAGTTAAAAACCCAAACCCAAAATCAAAATCAAAATCAAAATCCAATCCCTTAAAGTAATTATGTCAGTTATAGCAAATTACAGCCACATGCATCTTTATTTTGTACCTTTTCCTTTTCGCTATTTGCATAAGTTTTGGTAACTACACCATTTGTCCGTAACCCTTTGCAAAATACAGATCTTGGCTGTGCCATATAGCCAGGGTGTCTTCCATATTTGAACTTCGACGCAAAAGAGAACACCCCCTTCTTTTCTCTCTCTTCTCAAAAGTTAATGGATGGATTCTTGATTTTCTCTCTCCAAATTTAATATAGATACCAAACACTAGCCATAAAACTCAAACTCACAAATGCTCTCACTCTCCTCTTTTGCCTAGAAACTCCCACCTTAATCTTTATAGTCTCTTTCTTCTACGCCAACTATAAAACCTCATCCTTCTCTCTCTAATTCTTACAACAAGACAAACCTTTCCCTTTGATTTCCTCATCAGATCTCTCCATCTGTAATCTTACAGTACAGACACCACCTGAACTTCCCCATCAAAACAAAATGCCACCACACACCACCATCACCGCCACATGACATTCTCCATCCACAAACAAAACAGCCCATAATACGTGTGCACTCTTGTTTTTTGTTTTAGCAAATGAGGTGCAAAAAACACCCGTGCGACCTCAGCAGCGGCGTGGGGGTATGCGCCTCTTGTCTCCGAGAACGCTTATTTGCATTAATCGCCGCTCAGGCTCAAATACAACAGCAACAGCAATTAGCACAATTAGCTAAGGCACATCATCACTCACGCGCTGCCGAGTTAATAGATGAAAGTCGTAAATCAGATTTTAATTCTCAACATCAACAACAACCACCTCCTCTAATATTTCCTCGCTCCGTTTCTCCTTATGTTGCTCGCCGTAAATCTGACGACTCCTCCTCCTGGTCCCACCACAACCTCCGTTTCTACAGCACTCCTCAGTTGGGTCCTACCTACACCACCACCTCTACCACCACAGCCACAACAACCGCAGCGTACAAGAAGCAAAGAAAAAATTCTCGCTTTTTTCTGATCTATTCAGGTCCAGATCCGACAAATTCAATACAGACTCTACTGGCTATCGTGATTCTATAGAGCCATCATCTTCTTCTTCACCTTCCTGGTTCTCAACAATCCTCTCCGGTCGTCGGAGAAAGCAATCAACGCAATTCTCCATGGAATATTCCAGCTCCATTAGTGGAAAGCCTCGCCAGAGGTCAGATCGAGGAATGTCGCCAGTGAGAGGTGCGAATTCCGACGAGGATTGTGAAAATTGCGATCGGTCACCTTCAGGGAGTGGTTACTCGTCGGAGTCGTCGCCGGGGTGGAAGAAGACACCAGTGTTTCATTCTTCCACGAGGCGGGGGAAGGCGGGACACACTAGGAACTTGTCTGGATTGGCGTTTTGTTTGAGTCCTCTTGTGAGGGCGAGTCCCAACCGGAATTGGAACCAGAAGGGAGGACTGCCGCCTGAATTGGGATTTTCTGGTGAGGTTAGGGCACCGGTGAAGCCGCATCTGTCGACTGCTGCCTCGTTTTGCGCGAACAGGTCGAGGAAGCTTGCGGATTTTGGAAGAGTCAATCACAACCGTTGAGAGCGAAGACTCGTTCGCGCGTTTGATTTTACCAGAGTGGTGATGCTGATATATTTGAATTACGGTTCTGTCCCCCTCCAAATTGGCAGTTTTATATATATATATATATAAAATTCTGCGATTGCTCTATTTTGTATGATTGATTAGTTAAATTATAATGAGGGGAAGGGGAAAATACAAAAGGAAAAGAAAAAAAGAAAAAACCAAAAATCTTTTTGGTTCTTTGCATACATTACTGATGTTTATTATTACCATAAACGAAAATATTTTTTTGTTGTACAGTTTGTGAATTTATTTTTCGACATTTTAAACGATTGAACCTCTTGATATGGACTCTAGGGAAATTGGATTATTTTTCTTCTTTATTGGCTTTACATGATGATCATTTTTGTGGATCATGATTATATTTAGATCTTTTTTTTTAAGTGAAGTATGATCACAGTGAATAGGCATATATATATTTAGATGTGTTCAGTTTTTACGCAAGGTTTGACATAAATTTGGTAATGATAATCAAGGTAGGTTTGTGTGTACATTTGTCATACACAATGTTTAACATGGTTTGCTAATTTTTCTCCATTAACGCACGAGTAAAATTCGAGTGTCAAATTCTTGAGATTAATAAGGTGTTTATTATAAAAAAAAAAAAATAGATAAGACACTTGTACTGTTTTTTTAAATTATTATTATTATTTATTATTATCAAGGCATTTCCTATTGACATGTCACATGTTACCCTTCCAACTCATATACTTGTCAACTTAAAAATTGATAACTAAACATGGTGTTGTCTGTCTCTGAAAAAAGCTCGCGTAAGAAAGCTCAATGCTAATTTCTGTTAAAAATTGTTCTTAAAATCGTTCCTATTTTTCCTTGCTAGTAAAGGGAGTGGTGTTTTTAGCTGTAATTATTAATAGTTTTCGAGTATTTTTCGTTTCTGTTGTTTCATGTGTTCCTATCTTTGTTAAAATTTTCAATTTCCGAGTTCAAATGCGATCATTTCTTCCAGAAAAAAATAATATATATATTTCTTTTAGGAAGCTCGCACTTTGGCTTGTTACTTTGGATCAAGGTCCTTTTTTCGCCTTTTTCTTTTTATGAATAGAATTTTTGCCATTGAGTAAGAAAAGAAGTTGTTTGAAAAAAGAATATTTTTATTTTTTGGTTTTATAGTTTGAGGTATTCTTTGATTAGTTTTTTAGCATTCCGAAATTAAATTCGTCCTTTTAATTTGGTTAAAACTAACTATCCACGTCATAACTGGGAAATCTATAATAATTTTACTTCTCACCGTGTAATAAAAACAAAATGATGTTACAAATATTTATTGACAACCTGCTTGGGTTTGAAACTGAATCCTAAAGCAAGCCATTTTCCCATACGTATGAGATGTGAACCTAAGTACTTAAAAAAATTGAAATCGCTCCAGCTTATTTTTGCTTCTTTTTTTAATGAAAATGAAAGGATAGATAAGCTAACTTACACTCTTTGATAAAAAAGTATTATGTCCACGCCACATTATTTATTTATTTCTACCACTTAAATCAACATTTTTTCTCTCTCTTTTAATGGTCGTTTTGAATCATTAAATAAATATTGGTGGGGTTACTTTTATAAAAAGAGAGAGATATAATTTGATAGTTTTGGATGATGAAAGCCTTGACTTATAAAAAAGATACAATAATAGCCAATTGAATCAATACTACTCTATGTTTTGGCTAATCTTAATTTATATGCAAAAGTTAATTTCACTATGAAACATGTTAAGTAACCTTATTTTGGTTGAAACGTGAAATCATATCTTTCCCACTATTCAGATCCCTAGTAAATGTTTTAGTATCTTAAATTTGTTTTGACAAAAGGAATATTTTACAACCATAAAATTTATCCAGTTAACAACACGTAACCCCTACTGGTATTGGCTAATACCACCACACCAAACAAAACATTAGGTTTAAAGACATGTTAGACCAAATGGGAAAGGTATCCATTTTTCGACAAGCGTACATATTAGTGTGAGGAGTGAGTGATGTCGTGTTCCCCATTAGAATTCCAAGAGAGGCAAATGGGTGGGTAGTCAAGATAGGCAAATGGGTGGGTAGTCTAAGTGGTCGATGAAGAAGAAATGGGGAAGTACAATTGAATTAAGAAGGAGGTGTCAAATGCATCAAATTTCATCCATCTTTCGTGGGTGGTAGAACCCACATATTTCAAGGGAGTACTACCACTGCGTATACTCTATGGCTTATAGCTCATTTAAGTCGAGCAAGAATTGTATGTATGGTCTCGTTTGTCGCTCACAGAAAATTGCCTTAATGGTGCTTCCTGATGAGTTGCTATACATACAGAATAGCACACAATTTAACGGAGGGACTCACTCCCAGAAGGGCTGTGGGTGTTAACAATAATTTAGTCCTTGTAGTTTATTGAAAATAATAAACTAGTCCTTTTAGTGTAAAATATCATTAAGTTGTTTCTTGACCCATCCTCAATTTATTACTTTTTTTCTCTTTCCAAAATTGCATTATTCACTAATAAATTTTTTCCCATCTTGACTATTATATATATATATATATAGTAAGATTTTTTTGAATTAATTTTCACATCAACCGAGATTAAATACTTCACTTTTCAAACTAAACCAACACTAAAATACAAATAACATTAGATTGATTAATCAGCTATTGTCAGTCTAAATCTAACATTGTTAAAGAATAATTAGAGTTAATTATTTATAAGTGATGAAAATTGAAACTTAATTATAACCCAATTAAAATAATCTCTTAATGCTATACCAAAATCCTTCATAGTTAACTATTTTTATTTTATATTCTCTTATTTTCAATAGAGGAAAAAACAAAATATAATGGAAAGAACAAGAAATGGGGAAAAGGACTGATTAAATAGTTTTGGTAAAATATGGAGACTTATAAATAATTAGCTTCTTCATAGAGGGACTCCCTTCAAGAGGGACAGTAGTGGTGGCGGTGGTGTTGTCAGCGGTTCATCCCTGGTGGGACCAAAGGAGTTAAATGTCCTGACCAAATCTTCTTTATTAACGGTCAGAAGAAGTGGGGTCGTTTGATCTCGGAAAAAGCCCTTCTTCTTCAGTCTCATGATGTTGCGATTTCCTAGAGAACAGTACACGATTCGGTTGCTTTTTCCGTTTTAAACCGTTGGATCATGATGATTAATGGCCACCCTTCTCTTTTTGCCGCCAGTTTTGGCTGATTTTAAAACAACAGAATTAAATTTAATCCTCTAATTTCTTCATCCCAGATTTAATTATTTAGTGATTTTCTTCCATTCTAGTCTTACAAGAAAGCGTTTTAAACACAATAAATTTAAGAGACGGAGATGGAGAGATTACTCAAGTCAGATAGGCTAGTCTTTCAAACGAATCAAGAGGTGGTGGCCGTGGAGAAGCTTTAACCTTTTCTTTTGAGAAAGAGAGAAGCTGTCAAAAACAATCAATGTTGATATTAAATTAATAACTTGACCCTTTTGTTTTTTGTTTTTTTCCTTAGAAAATCGCCCCAAGAGTTTACCAGACAATTAAACTTAATCTCGAAAGTTAATTTAAATATATATATTTAAAAAGAAATTAAAGTCTAAAATTAGAATGTGTTAAATACAATACCAAGTCAAAAATGAAATTATTTATATCTAGTGTTAAATTCATTCAGTTAGAAAATGTCATAATTGTAATAACTGGCATTTCTCTGGAAGAGAAAAAATGAATACGAAATTTTTTTTGATATAAAGGGTGGTTGGATGTCATCCGAACATATGTTATTAACGTTTTCAGTTCTTAACACCTCTTGTTCGAGAAGTTGATGTGAGAGAATTAATTGCGGAGTTTGGACAGTTTAAAGTTCTGAACCTTCTAACGAAAGTAGAAATTTAATTGTCTTAGTTATAGTTTCTGACTTTTTCATGTGCATTCATTATTGACTCAAGAAAATTTCCATCCAGGTTAATGGGATATAGGAAGAACGGTTGCCTCTTTTTTTTTTCCTAAATAAAAAAGTCCACCCTGTCAATTTCTGTGTGTTGTGGCCCAACATAGACACTAATACCACTTCTAATCCAATAACATTTGCAGAATTCTTTTAATCTTATGATCTAAGGTTATTTAGTATACCCTCTGACAATAGTTCTGATGTGAACTTGCAAGGCAGGTAATTGTACGTGGAGATGTGTCCTTTAGCTTGGATTGATCATTATAGTAATTACTAAAAATTAAAATTCTGTAGTCTTATTCAGAGTAGGCACTTACGATGCCAGTTAGAAATTAAATAAAAAATCACAACCTTCTCAAACCATCACGCTCCTTAGATTTCCTTTGCTTTTGGTGGATGAGACTTCTTAGCGATATATAAAAAATCCTGAGAGCGTGAATCTTCTTTTGCAGGAAAAAGTTAAAAGACGTCGCAATGCGTTATAGCTATCAGAAAAAGCAAAGTACAGCCTCGCCCAAGGTGTAACTAGCATATATAGACCAACCCTTCCGTTCCAGAGGCTTCCAAATCGTTACTTTCCTTTTCTTAACTTTGATCCTAACTAAGTTTTGATTCAATGCGAGGTCAGTTTGCTTTCTAAGTATTCGTTTGGTTCTAAGGGTTACGGTACTCTTTTGATTTTCGATTAAAAAAAAAAAAAAAAAAGCCGACCAACTATATTTGATAAAAACAAAAGTCCTTACGAGTTCCATATAAAAAAATCGAAATCTAATATTTTCTGAAACACTTTATTGTGCAGATTTTCGAGTTTTTGTAGTTTTTTAATCATTTTATTTGTAATTTTTATATCAATTTTTTTTACCACTACAATCATAAGTCAGCCACAATCTAACCTCTAAGCTCTTTTTAGAGTTAAGGTCAAGGGCTAGCCCTAAACACCATCCTGGGCATTTAATGATGCAAAATTAAAGTGCCAAACACGCCAGTCTTGCGACTCTTACCCTTGAAATTTAGGGTTTTTCAGCTTTTGTGGCGACGTTTACACTACATAGCTTTGAATTTTAGGTACATTGATAAGTGAAAAATTTATCGTACAAATTGTATATATAATATGAAATACGAGTGTTTTTAAAAAATTATTCAATATAAAGGTCGTTTCAACTAAACATCTCTACTTTTTTTTTTTTTCCTTTTTCCATCACTTCGCATCATTCACTAACAAAATCTGTTTCATGTTGTTTGTGCGCAAAAATCAATCAGCGACAAAAGCTCCACCGGCCACCGCTTTCAAAGCTTACCCTATTTCCGTCACCGCTGCCGCTACCTCTAAGCCAAGCATAGTACACCAAGAGGAGGGATACCCCTAGACTCTTCGTCCGGTGTGAAACAAATAAATTTCTCATAAACGACTAGTCCTGGCAATGACATACTTAAACTCAACGACAACACATGAACTTGATTAGTCTTTATATTGACCTAACAATACACCAAGTAATTAAACCAAAAAAAAAAAAAAACCTTAGATATTCATCACATCTGTATTATTAATTTGAGCACTTATATTTTGATTTCTCCGTTCACAAATCACAACTAATTCAGGAAGAAATGAGAAAGGTTCCAAAATAAATGTAGATCTAAAAAGAAGGTTGAGGTTGAGGCAATATTTGTTTGACTAACATATTAGGCTCGATCTCTTAAATATTGGATAGAAAAGTATGCTATGTATAGCGTTGCAGCATTTAATAGAAATAGACTGGAAAGTCGGACGAAGTGTGTAACAAGGCCTCATACTTAATTAGTATACGTATATCACACCTCTCTTTCTTCTAAAATTTCTCTGGGCACTCAGCCTCGGAGAAATTTCCATTTTAATTCCATGTACCACAAACGTCGAAATTTCTTTAATCAAATCGAAAATGTGTGGTTAATTTGTTAGAATCATTGAAGGCTGTGATGTTCTTGTCAAGGAATCAAACTCCCCATCTCTTTTATTTATTTAATTCAATGATTTTTGCTTCGTACATGTCTTGTTTTATACAATAAATCTAACTTATTTGAAGTTGGCGCATTTATATATGTATGTACGAGTTTAATTTAGTAGGTGAGATCTCATTAAATTTTAATAATAAAAAAGTTTGAAAATAATAAGATTTAAACTCTTAATTACTTCAATAAAAAAAATCTAACATTATATATCAACAAAGTTTTTTTGTCCAAAAGTTTAAATTTTCACTAATTAACAAGATAATTGCAACAAATGTTTATTCATCAACTTGTTGCAGATTTGTTTATGCAACTCTAAGATCAACGTGAAATGTACGGAAATTGTCATGCCTTTTTTAAAAAAAAATTAAAAAAATAAAATAAAAAATCATGTCCGTCTCTATTGAATGGAATTATTCAAACATTAGGTTAATACAAATCAGTATTCCTTGCATATCAGTTTGGACAAAGTTTATTCATTAAATCTTGTTGGCGAAGGGGCATGAAATATGCGTGGTAGCTGTATCTCTCTATGGTCACCTTCCTTACCCAACTCACAAAAACATTCAATCCAAGAGGTACATGACAACATTAATTATTGAGACGTGTATGTTAGGGAATGTTTAGAAACACACATCTTATGTTAATTATGTATAATTAAGATTTAACTCCTTAATTAATTTCATGCATTTACGACAATATACTGTTTAAGCAAGTTTTACTAATTGACCTGTGTTGTTTTTTATTTTTTTTAATTATAAAAAAAATCATAGTATGTTTTAAATTTAAATTAAAGTTATTCTGAACCATTTTTAATTCAATATACTTCTAACTTAGCTTCGTTTTCTGTCACAAATTATTTATGAAAAACAACTTTTTATATTATACTTCAAAACAAAAGTTAATATATATATATAAATCTTTCCAATTGGATTATAAATTAAGTTCGAAACAAACTTTAGTGCACTGAAACCAAGTCATAGCTGAATCAAATATTGAGCTGCCTGCTATGCATAAGGACTGGCAATCTTGAATCGAAACGATAAGAAATACGAAATGATAAATGTACTAATTACCACAGCAGTCAACACTTAGGGCTATAACAACGCTTTTGGTTCTTAGTATGACTACAAATATATGCATGCCAGCAAGAAAATTGCAACCACTAGGAAACAAATCATTCAGAGTGAATAATTCAGTGAATGTTGATGATGAAATTCGTTATCATGGGAGACTAGAAGAGCCATTACACGGACTAAATCCAAAACTAGCAAAGTTATGTTGTTTAATAGGGATAAAAGTGCTACACCTGTCCACTAGCTAGCAAGAAAAAAAAAAACTGTTTAAAAGTAGTAGAACTCCATCAGGACGACCTGGCTGTTAAGAGAGTTATAACCATAATAATTGTTAATTTGAGATTTACATGACAAAACACTATTCAAGTTGTAATCACGTGAACCCAAATCAAAGAAACACATTTAAAAAGATATTTTACATGTCTTATTATGTTGTGATTTCAGATTAAACAAAGGTGAAACCTGTAGGATTTGTTACTAGATGAAGAAGAATTAGTGAATTATTATTTAGTCATTGAATATTTGAAAACCTATAACCTAGTCCCTTGATTTTTGTTAAACGCGCTTATCTTTTTGCAAATTCGATTGATTTTTTTTTTCTAAACCATCACCATGCAGGTTTTATTATAGGAATTTAAATACTCAAATGGTAGATATGGGATTAAGAAAAAGCTCTCAAACATAAATGACTAAGCTATTCTCGTCCAAAAGACAGGGACTAAAGAATAATTTACTCAACAAGCAACGAAGGGGTTCATCAATTGCATAATCGAGCCGAATACAAAAAGGCCAAAATAGGGGTTTGGTCGAGTACAATCTGTCATAAGGCCTAATTATAAGAAAATGAAAGAATTCTTCTTTCCTCAACCCACCAGCTAGTTCCCAGATGGCTTTATCTCATGGAAACAAGTGTGGTCATTTTCCAAGCGCAGGCAAAATGCCAAAGAAAAGTTTGTCCTCTGCGTGTAAAGCCATGCACTTATTTGAAGAGAGAGTTCATCGACGGAATAAAGCACAACAGTTTCAATCTAACATTACATGGGCTTGGTGATTCCTTCCAATTTTTTAGCATCATCAAAGTAATCGTGTCTTCCAATCAGAACAGAAGTCCGAGCAGGAAGTTATATTACACAGTAACAGACAACAAAGTGCTTCCTTTCAGCAGGATAATCAAAAAGCAACCTTTAAAAATCACAAATTTCCTTCAATAGGATCCGTCACCTCCTCTGAGAGAATTTATGGCTCATGGCTATTTTGCACCACCATACATACACAAACATTTGGATTTTTTCAAAGTCCAGCCATATTACTCATTGTTTAGCTCTCTTGTAATCAGCTTCAGTCCTTGTCAGTAAATAACTGGACCAAGGTAAATCTTGCAGTAAATTAGAGCTTTCCGAGCTGCAACAAATTTCTCGCCAACCCAATTGTGGATCGAGGAGTTCTTTATAAATGCCGTAAAGTACAGAATGAGCCTAGTTCAAAATCTATCATAGCCTACTGCTTCATGTACTATTTTCACATGTATCGTCAAAGAATGGCAGTAAAAGAAATGGCCTAGTTAAATGGAAATCATCAAGAAGAAGGGAAAAAAATGGCCTAGTTAAAGAAATAAAGGACAAACACAAAAACCAGAGTTCTGAGTTCCTATAGCATGTGGCATCAATTGCATTAAAAAAGAATCATTCCTTCAGGGTCCACCCAAAGAGAAAAATCATCTGTGCATTCTTTCCAAATTTATCAACACGTAGAATTGTTACCGGCTTCAGCGGCATTACTTTGTGCTTTCCTCATCTTAAAATCATCAAGATAATTCTGATAAGTATAAGAGGCAAAACCCCAAACAGCCAGAAGCATAGAAATTATCTTCACACCATCCATCTTGTCATGGAAAACTATAACTGCAGCAATAGGAGATACAGCCAAGGCGACAGTACTTATCACATTGGAGAAGAGAGAAGACACCACAAAAATCAAGCCCACAACACCAACAGAGCAAACCTGCCAAGTAACTGCAGTCCCTACTAGAGTCAACACATACGAAACGCTACCCTTACCAAAACTCTGCATTTCTCCTCGCAAAGTCTTCCATTCCCCACTAGCAAAAAGACCCACAACAGAAACACAAGTGGCAACAATAGATGTGAAAACCTGCATTTCTAAAACCACAGAAAATGTTTCCTTTTTTATGACCTTCTGAAACGAAAGCTGCATGAGCGAAAGCAAAAGAGAGTAAATTGCAGAAGCACCAAGGGTGGCAAGGAAGCCAAGGATATACTTCCACTTAGAGACTCCTGATGGTCCTTCCGAATCGTCATTGACAGCAATTAGAGCAGAGGAAAAGGAGAGAACAACCACAGAATTAAGAATTAAAGCTGTGAACTTCTGAGAATTGATGAAGTGTGAGAAAACGGAATTAAATGCTAACTGGGACGCACAGATTAGTGAATAAGTTGAGGCAGATAGATACAACAGCCCCAAAGAATACAAATAGTTATCACCGGCTATAATCACCCCAAGAATCAAGTATATCAAGGCAAGTGTTCTAACCGGAGGCGACCGAGCAGAAGAGGCTGAAGTTTCCTTAGATGAAGGAAGCAGAAAGAGTGGAATGCAAAGAATAGGAAAACCAGCAGTCTGAACAATAGTTGCAATCCATTTACTATTACCACCCTGATCATAATAAAATCTCCCCAATAGAACAGCAGCAGACTGTCCTGCCACAAGGAAAAAAATGTTTGCAGCTACCAAGAGCCACCATTGCCAGCGCTTGAGTTTGAATAACGGAGATTGTAGTGCTACTCTAGTTTCAACCTTATTCAAGATTGGCCCTTCATTATCTGTAATTGGAAAAGAACAGTAGAAAATTCAAAGAACAGAAGAAAAGGAAAAAAAAAAAAAATCTGATCATTACTCAAAAAATTTAAAATTTCAAAACATAAAATCCTACTTTCGTACAGAAAAGAGTGAGTTTTGCTGGTCATAAACATCCTACTTTCATAAACTAATGACCATCAAACATCATTATGAATCAATTTTATTATACACTGCTTGGTAACAAAGAAAATGAAAAGAACAGCCACTACATATAATCAATGAAACTTCAAATTTATGACTGAAAGTAATTCATATAAACAGACAGCTCTATATTAGCCTCAGCTCAGTTATTTTGGATGCAGAAAAGAGAATCCAACACTGAATATCTTAAATCTTGATTTCATTCCCATTCAATCAATCACCAAGTTATTTTAAAAATAAGACTTTCTAGCCATACATAACAATCACCAATATAACATAGAGACTAAATTAGACAAACATATATATATATATATATATATATATATATATATAAGTGTCTCGTCTCTGTAACTTTGACCATCAACAAAGAAACCAAAAATAAAAGGGGTCTAAATTGAGAAAGAATGAGATACCGGCCATGTTGTCGATGGTTGCTGGAGGTTAATTGACGGCTTTCTTTTGCTGTTGAAGGAAGCCAAAACAGAAGACAAAAGTGGGTTTTTGACGTTCAAGAATCTGACAGCAGAATCTTCATAGTCGATTGAGTCGGTTGCTGTTTAATTGAAGGCTTTCTTATGCTGTTGCCTTTTTTTATTTCCCCTCGATTTGTTGTCTTTTGTGGAAAAAGGTCACAACGTTGTGAGTTAGGGTTCGCTGAGATTAAGGATGGCAATCGGCTAGGTACCCGGCCCATTAAGCCAATCCTATACCCTACGTACTAAAAAAAATATCATACTCGTTATCTTGAAAAATATCACACCCATTATCCTATCTATTATCTATTAAAAATTATTTATTCATTTATTTACAAAGCTTATATCCATTATATTATACTCTGTACATTAAATTGAAGATTTTTTTTTCAATTTTTTTATTATTATATTTCTTGCAGTCTAATTTTAATGAAAAATTTTGCTGCTAATTTTACATTTAAATCTTAAGTTATATTTTATAAGCTTATAGATGAAGCTTTGACGTTAGCTATCGAAATTTTTTGTAAAATATTGTTATAATGATTAACTTATGGTTCAAAATTCATTCATTATCAATATTTGCATCCTGCTTGTGTGCAAATTAAAAAAAAAAAAAAATCGTAATAATAGGTTGAGTTTTTCAATCATTTTGCATGCAGAGATCTGTTGTATGAAGTTATTCTACATTTTTTTGAGCTCAAATTTCAGTTATGATTTTGAATCAACCTGTTTCTAATTTTCTTTAGTTTATTCTCTTGCATCTGCAAAAAAATGACTTGAAAAGGGGAGGAATTTGCGAAATTCAAATCTAGCCAGATGCTGTGAGCTGGCCACTTGATCACAATTCCAGGTGTAACAGTGTTGTTGCAGGTCGAAATTCAAATATAGCACACGGGCAATGCTTGGAAACCATTAGGAAATTTAAATTCCATTTAGTTCTCTAATTTTACATTTCTTTTTGTTAAGATCACATGAGACTTAAATAAATCAGGCCTCAAAGGTTCCAAAATACACACAAGTATCAAAACCAGAGATTAATGCTTCAATTGACAAATGGTCACGCAAAGAATAGGAGACAAAACGGTAGCTGCAGCAGCAAGACATCCAACCAACTGAAGAACATAGAGCCCAACATTTGCAGAACAGGGTAAATTTTTGGGGGTGGATCCAAACTGACGCTGTATTGTTTGGTGCTTACAGCTGACTGAGGTCGTCTAAATACCACTTATTCATCCAAAACTCAGCCCTGCTCTTTCAATAGGACACTTTCCCGCAAATGATCTCAACCATCCGATCATTTTCGGTGGATGGAATCTAAGATTAATTTCCAAGTAAAAATCCTTAATTAGGTTTTGACTGCCCATCGATGTACCTCGGGGATGCAATGGTCTTTCGCTGATGCTGAAGTTTTTGCTGCCCTCACTCTGTTCTTTTGAACTTGTTTTAATTTTTGAATGAGAAAAATGGACTAAGAGTACGGAATTAATTCTATATGAGAAAATACCCTGTCTACTAATGTATTTTGAAGTGGTAAAATACGAGGAGTAAATTATAAATTAGTCCCTCTATTTTTTATAAATGAATTAATTAGTCCTTTTTGTTTAAAAATTAATTATGTAGTTATTTAACTAGTATTTATCACCTTAATTTAATATTATTTTATTTTAAAAAATATTATCTTTTTTTTATAAATCCTTCCATATATTTTACTTATTTTATTTTTTAAAATAAAATATCAAAAGAAATTGAAAAATAACGAAAATGATTAAGTTAAAAAAAATTTAAAATATGAGTAATTATTTTTTTTATGTTAATGAGTAAAATATGAGTATCGATAAGGTAAAAAAAATACCAATATTTATGAATAAATTATCTATTAATATAAATAGATAATATTATTTTATTCATATTTAATGTTTTTTAAAGATAATTAATAGACGTACCGAACAGGATACTTATTTTGTATCCCATCAATTGCCATCCCTAGTTGAGATAGATGCTTCCAGGATTCGATTCCAAAATTCATGGTCGATCAACGGCTTGAGTACTTCACTTATGCGATGCCGCCACTTGGATAGAGCCATACCCTTTTTATTTTAAATTTTGAATAATTTTTTTTAAAATGACTACAGACTCGTGGAGACTGAATATACAGTCTTAGATAGATAATTAATGCTAATGCCGTTAACATGCATTTTTTTCTTTAAAATATTTATTTAATAAAACTATCTACATCAAATAATAACAAATAAAAAATAACTAGTGTTCCGTATTTAAAAAAGAATTAAATTATGGTCAATCTTATATTATTTAAAAAAATTAAAATATTTCTTATTTATTTATTTATTTTTAAAATTATATGAAAAGATTTTATGTTAATATTTTTATTAAACAAATGTTTAAAGTAATCTATTAAAAAAAATGTTGCTGGCATTTTTTATTTATTATCATTAACAGTTAAAACCTACTCGATGATTTGGCAAAAGCGAGTTGATAGAAAATATATTTATTTAATTTTTTGCTTCAAATATTATAAAAGAAAACTAAAAGAAGTGGGGTTGTTCCTATTCATTTATTGTAGTTATACACTCAAAGTCTCTATTTATGCATGTTTTTTTAACATTTTGGTCTCTCATTCTTTGTGAGATAAATTAATTAGTCCCTCCGGTTTGAAAACAAATTTTTTTGGCCATTTTCACCATTTTACTATTTTTATTTTTTCTTTTAAGAAATAGAAAAAAATAAAATAATTCTTTGGAGAATAAATTAATTAGTCCCTTTGTTTTGAAAACAAATTTTTTTTGTCCTTTTAGCCATTTCCGTTTACTCGTAGTATATATATATATATATATATTTTTAACGCCGTTCATTCTTCCAGATCCAATAATATATATTAACTTATTCACTCATGCATCGTTCTCTATTTTCCAATGAATAGACTCGCAACCTTCATTGCCTTGGAGGTAATATAATTTTTTGACTAATTTATCCTCTTTCTCAATTATTAAAGTATTTGTAGGACTATTATTATAGTTAATAATTATAATATATTATCATTATATTTTACAAAAAAATAGTAGTGTTTTTTTTTTTAACGTCCGGTCACCTTTTTTTTTTTTTTTAGTTTCTATATTTGTAGGACTATTATTATATGATTAAATATATTATTTAGGTCCTTATTTATTAGAAATATATTTTGTTTAAATAATAAAATTATTTATAGTTAATAATTATAATACATTATCATTATATTTTACAAAAAAATATCAAAAAAATATTATAAAATAGTTATTTATATTTTGATTGTTGATATTGTATTTATGCGAGTGCTTTTTTGTTTTGTTTTTGTTTTTTTAACGTCCGGCCTCATTTTGTTTTCAATTTCTATATTTGTAAGACTATTATTATAAGGTCAAATATATTATCTAGGTCCTTATTTATTAGAAATATATTTTTTTAAATAATAAAATTATTTATAGTTAATAATTATAATATATTATCATTATATTTTACAAAAAATATCAAATTATTATTATAAAATAGTTATTTGTATTTTGATCGTGAATATTGTATTTATTATATAATATAATATTTTTTATTATTTTATATTATGATATAAATAATATATTGATATATTATTTTATGAATTTCAATATATATAAAAATTGGTAAGTATTTTAGTAATATATAGTATATTTGATAATTATACCATATAATTAAATTAATATTACATTGTATTAATTAACTATTATTTTAAATATATTGGTATAATGATATAATATTTATTAATAAATGATTTATTTAAATATCAAATAACAGTTGTTCCCCTTCTATATAAATAATTTTTATATATATATTTTTTATCATGAAATTAGGTGTGAAAATATAAAAAAAGATCTTTATTTTTTTTATTTTACGTATAGTTTGATAATAATAGAATATATATGATTTTTAAAAAATTTTAATTTGAACATATATATTTAATTATATTATTTTTATTATTTAAAATTTATTTCTTTTATTGTTTGTTTCTTATTAAAATTCTCACCGAATTAATTTTTAAATTTTATATGATTTTATTTGTTAATAAATTTTGATTTTTTTATACATGACTTTTGAAATAAAATTTTAGAATCTGATTGTTTTATTTTTTTTAAATATATTATTATAATTTATATAATTGATTATTTTTATGATTTTGCAATGAAAATGAAGTTGTTGCATATATAAATTCGATGAAAAAGAGAGAGCTAGAAGTATGTTTCGGATATTATAATTATTCTATAAAAAAACTAAAAGAACTAGGGTTTTTCCTGTTTATTTGCTATAGCATTTTATTTATTTTTAGTATTGGCTCGGAGAAGCGTGTTCCGGTAGTTGGCCTAGCTCATTTTACTCGTAGTTTTTTTTTCTTTACGGCTGGCTTGCGAAGCATTTTTTTTTTTTTTTTACGAGGCTGGCCTTGATGAGCGAGCTCAAGCGAGGCCTACACAAGTAGTCTCAACCAACGTTTGCCTTCTGTTTGTTTTTCTTCTAATAATTTATTTTTATATTTTTTATTTTGAAATTAGGTGTGAAAATATAAAAAAGATCATTATTTTTTTTTAGTTCCGCATACATTTTTACGGTAATAGAAAATATATAATATTTTAAAAAATTTTAGTTTAAACACACACACACACACACACATATTATTTTTATTGTTTAAAAATTATTTTTTCAATTGTTTGTTTCTTATTAAAATTCTCATCGAATTAATTTTTTAATTTTATGTAATTTTATTTGTTAATAAATTTAATTTTTTATATATGGATTTTGAAATAAAATTTTAGAACTTGATTGTTTTATTTTTTAAAATATATTATTATAATTTATATGATTGATTTTTTTATAATTTTTAAATGAGAGTAGCGTAATTGCATCTATAAATTATGATGAGGAAGAGAGGCTAAAAGTGTGTTTTAGATAATTTTACTTAATTTTTGTAAAAAATAATAATCGATTAAAAAATTAATTTGACTCAATTTTTTTAAAAATAATACATATACCAACTAGGCGCGACCATGCTCTTTTTTTTTCTTCCTATAATTTATTTTATATTTTTAATAGTTTGGGCACCAATCTCATGATAGAACAAAAAAAAAGTTGGCTAATTATTTTAAATCTTTATGCGTTTAAGAATTGGATCACCAAGAAGTAAAAGAAAATCATTAATAAAATATACATATTGTCATAGCATAACCGGATCTCCAACAAGTGATGTACGAGTTAAGCGATCATACATAATTGATCACTTCACCGGGAAAGAAACGCATAGATATTATTGATCCCTTTAATGTCCCCGAACCAATTTTAATTATATCTTTGACATTGATATTAACATACATATCTAATTATTTTATTCTTATTTTAAAAATTTTTTTCTTCAATTATTTGTTTCTTATTAAATTATTTTTTTGACTTAATTTTATTTGTTAATAAAGTTGGCTTTTTAATATTGAATTTTGAAATAAAACTTTAGAATGTCAATCTTTTATTTTTAAAAAATATATTATTATAATTTATACAATAAATTATTTTTATATTTTTAAATGAGTGTTATATATATATATATATATATATATGAGAGAGAGAGAGAGAGAGAGAGAGAGAGAGAGAGAGAGAGGTAAAAGTATATTTTAGATAATTTGACTCCATTTTTTTTTTTAAATACTAATGAGTTCAAAAAATTAACAAGTTTTATCTCGCTTTTTTTTCTATATATTTATTCAGAATTTATCAAAACCAATTTTTTTGTAGTTTTTATTTTAATCTATTGACTTCAATATATTTTTACATTTAGGTGGTTTTTATTTTTCTATTTATTTTATATATTTTGAATCTGTTATATATATATATATATTGATCACTAAAAATAAAAATTTCTATTTAAATTATACCATACGAATCGTTAACTCTATATATGTAACGGTTGTACGCACTCGCAACGTCGCGTAAGTATCTAACTAGTTATATTCTAAAATTACTTTCAAAAGCCTGACCCTACGTAACCTAATTTTCTTTATCAATAATGCTATGTATTCCTTTAGGTTCAGCACCAAAGAAATCCCAACATCTTTTATTTTATTTTTCAGACTAATAACAATCTATATAGTCTATCTTCACAATGATGTAGTACCTTTAAAAAATTAATAAATTTCATTGAATATCAACGTCAAAATTTAAATACACACAAAAAAAAAAAAACCAGCTTTCTAGGCGACCATACACTTTTAAAAGCCATATTCATCTTGTTTTTTTTTTAAAAAAAAAGTCACGAAGATAGTTAGGTAAAATTAGTACAGATCATAGCGATAAGAGGTATCGCTACCGCTTCTAGTCTCGATTTTTTAACATGAAATTTTTTGATGAACTCATTTCGATACAATGCCATCTACATAGAGTTCCCCCTGAAAAGTGCTATGATCAATTGTTTTGAATCCAAAATTAAAAAATCAATTTAAGCTTGCAACTTATAGGCACGCAAAGCTGGAATGGTACATTTTTGGATCATATCCCTTGCACCCCAAAAAGCAGACAGGGAGATGGCAGTAACTGTTTAGATCAAAATAATCAGATCAATTTATTGGAAAGTACTATTTTCAACAGAATCAAATATGAACGTTAATAACAATATTTTTTCGCACAATTCTCTCTGGGTCCACAAGAACCATACGTGCATGCCTTGTTAGGACTAGCCTAACTACAACCAATTATCTCCCTTCTCAAGTTATATATCTATCTTATAACAATGCACCAAAACCGAAACGAAACCAGAATACCAGATGCTACAAAATAAGAGAAGGATGCAAACTTTACAGAGACAGCGTGGGCTCATGGAAGTATGCTTAGATCTCAATTTTTGCATATTAGCAGGCACATCCTCTCAATTTTTGGGTATTAGCAGGCGCATCCTCCTGACTGTTGTTGGGACTGTGATGCATTTGCATTGGAAGACTTCAGATTCACATCAACCATATCTTCTTGCTTAGTTGAAGAAAGTGTTTCCATTCCTGGTAAAGCCGCTGCAATCTTCCGGAACAGTGCCTGATAAAGGGGGAAAAAGTACACAATCAAATGCTCCCTTTGTGCGTAAATTAAAAACGAGTTCTGTACCATGCACAAGCAAATGTGGTTTACCTTTATATTGAACCCAGCCTTTGCACTAGTTTCAATAAACATGACGTTGAGGTCGCGAGCTTTAGCTTCTCCTTCCTCTATTGAAACTTGCCTGTCAAACCAGCAACAAGATCCCAAGGATGACCACATAATTTCCATTGAAATATTACTTGTTTTGAAATAAATGAAAAAAATTCAGAATGTCCTTTCAGATTTCTCTAACTATTTCTTTCATGAAAACAAAAAATTCTCTAAAACTATCAAATCACCAACATTTAATTGAAGTCATATATACAGTTCACCATTTCAAAGTCTCAAATTCACAAATCCAAAATCAAATTTAACAACAAAAAAAAATGATGAATTGTCAATGCAAACACCTAATACATCTCTTTCATCACTTAAAATGTTGAACTTTCATCATCTTCGTCAGAAAATAAAATTGCTGCATGGTAGAACCGTTTTCAATTTCAGACAGTGTACAACAAAGCAAATTAATTGTCAAAAGATTTACATAGGTTCATAATTAGCATATTGAAAACAGAATAGATCAAGCTAATATCAACTTGTTTCACAATTGAACTCCAACCAAAAGCAAATCATCACCTTTTGTCCACAAGATCTGTTTTATTCCCAACAAGTACAATAATAACATCGCTGCCCCGCTCACTGCGAACTTCTTCAATCCACTTTGAAGTATTCAAGAATGATTGCCTGCCTAAACCAAAAGAAAATGCTTGATGGTTGGCGAGTTTCATAAGCATGTAGCACAAAGTCACCCAATACATTTGAAATAAACTAAATCCAAGCAAAGGAATTTTATGAACAAGAAACAAGGATGGATAAGAAATGTTAAAGTTTGACTAAGAAGTTCAATATATCAAAAACTGTACTTGTTCAAGTGGCTATAAGTAACCTAATTGTCTGCCTTTGAAATCCATTAAATGAAATGTAAAGTAGCTGACAGATAAACGAGACAGGAGATTCCCTGAGAATTGGAAAAAGGTAGAAGAAATCCACATACTCGCAACATCAAAAACAATGACTGCCACAGAGGAATCCCTAATATAACTTGGGATGAGACTCCTGAATCTTTCCTGTCCTGCAGTGTCCCTGCAGTAGACTCCACGCGTTAGAACATGTAAACGCTGAACTATGTAGAAAGATTCAACAATAACAATCTCATCAACAAGATTAGGCCTATCAACAAAGCATGTGGTCCATCTATTCATCAAGCAAAGAAGAGCTGGTCAATAAATTCATCTGCATCAGAAAACGAATAGGACCTGGAATGTAGTATCTAACACACTTGAAATTAAATAACAAAATGTTAACTAAAAATTTTACTTGCACGAATCAAAATGTGTCCATCATAAAGAGCTCTTCTAATCTAGCAAGAAGCAATAAATCCATGTCTCTCATATCCAAGCAAGAAATACTACCAAAAATTTCCAATTACCATGTTTCAAATAAATTCTTACAATCACCAAAAGTTGTCATAGTAACACAACGGTGTACATTCAAAGACATTAATGAAAAGGGGAGAAATCATAGGTTCAAATCCTATTGTTGTAAGTTACATATAAAAGGAGACAGCAAGATCATGTAAGGCACATTTCAATGCATAACACCAATGTAGTGGTATTAATCTCGCAGATGCATTGCCTACTTATAAAAACAAACATGCACAACATTATCCATTTGAATTTCAAAAAAACAGAAAAGTTTGAGAAAATTATGAAGAAAGAAGAAAAGGATACTACAGAACATATACTAAATAACGTAGTCAGTACAAAAACTTACCAGAGTTGCAACCTAATAGTTCGATCTTCAAGGTACATTGTCTTTGATAGAAAATCAATACCAATAGTAGCCTGATCATCATCAATTGAACAGAAACATAATTAAGAAAACCATCGGTAAGCAGATCATTAATTTAACCATCAGAATGTTATGTAGCCAAAAGTCCATAGTCCTGGTTAACAAATCATTTCCATTTTTCATAACATTTAATAAAAATATATAACTAGCAGTAGTACTCCTTATATTATACATCTTGAGATCCAAATAATCTCAAAACACGAATAAGTCCACAAATCTCATAACAAGTAAATCGCGATTGAATCTAGGCGAATCAGATCCACGAACCTTGGCAAAGAGTAATGCTAATATCACATAATAGTCTTATAGAATTCAATTACCGAATAACATATGAACCATTGGAGTGGATGGTTATCTCATGCATTAAATAACTGGATTTCAATAGTAAATCTCATAAAATCGTAAGTGAATTGTGTAAGCTTTAATGTAGGAGTACAATTACTCCTGTAAAAACTAGCTTTGCTTCTTATTGAATTTTTAACATGAATTCACCACGGGAAGAAAAGGAAATGTCATGTAAGCAGTCCTCCTACCTGATAGCTATTGTCGAATTTGTCGTACATGAAGCGAGTGATGATACTGGTTTTTCCCACAGATTGATCCCCCAAGAACACCAGTTTGTACTTGGCCAATGCCGATACCGGTGCCATTATATATATTTTTATAAATAGTATAATCAATTAATCCGATCTATCCCCCAACAAATCAACAAATATGAGAGGATCCAAGAATCAAGATCTCGCCGCGCCGGACCAGACCGGACCGGACCGCCTGAGATCAAGATCCAGGTCCTCCTACTTCGTTTGTGATTGTTAACAGAGAATTGCAATGCTGAACAGGCGGGGGCTGGTGCTAGTGCCTCAGCTTTGCGCGTCAACTCTTTTCAAAGAAGCTTACACGTCACCAGCAAACAATTGAAAAAACGGCAAGTCGTTCGTTCTTCCACTTGACCACGGGATTGGCAAAAGACGTGACATTCGGTTTTCTATTTTACAGCTCTTATTGTTTAGTATGTTTACTAATTTAATTAATCTACAGCCCATTTATTGCAATTCGGAGTTTAGTACTGTCATCAGTCCAGAAACCCAAGCGAAAGAAAAGTCGGGGGGAAATGGCATTGAGAGCAGCCGTGCTACGCCACATTAGGGTGCCGGTGCAAACCCTAGGACTCAAATCAAATCCAAGGGCTCCGTCTGGTTCAATCCGGTTAATGTCGTCTCATGATGACCATCTGAGCAAAGAAGAGGTGGCCGACAGAGTTCTCTCTGTTGTCAAGAGCTTCCCTAAAGTCGATCCTTCCAGGGTTAGACCCACTCTTTCTTTTCAATTCATTTTTCCTTCTTTCAATGCGTGCTTTAGATTTCATCGTACTATAACAGATATTCATTTGATTTCAGCTATTGGGGTCTTCTTTTGGTTTTTTTTTTCGTTTTAAATTTAATTCAGTTAATCCAATTTATGGCATTTTAAAGACCTGGTTAGGTTTTGTATCTAACCTAGCTGAGTTAGAAGAAGATATTTGGTACGTTGTTGTTTATTCAATTTTCTGACTTTGATAAAGATTGATAAAAGATATAAAAAATGAATGCGCCATCTAGTGTTTAGTGGAGGAACATAGAAATATACATAAGATTCCGAGGTCTTTTGTGAGTCCAATTCTGTTCGTAACCGTCTCTTACTTTCTTGTTTTGTTTGTCCCTTTTTTCCTTATGCTTTATCTCTCTGTGAATGCTTAAAATTTAGTGGATGCTTTATCTCTCTGTGAATGCCTAAAATTTAGTGGCTTTTGAATTTAATTCTTTGCTAGCTATATCCGAGATTAAAGTCACATTTTTTGGTTAGTGTAAAAAAGCTCATATCCATATGTTGAGAAACTGTCCAAATAAACATTTTGGATAGGTTTATTGCATATCTGAGAGCCTAATTTCCATTTCGGTAGCATAGTTTGTTCATTACTTGAGCTAGTATCTCTCACAACTCATAACCCTTCATGACTCCTACAACTTTCATCATGGGAGTGTTACCTTCGGCTAATCTCCTTGCTCGTAGACAAGATATAATTTGTTTTTTCATTGTTTTGATTTTTATGAATGATTTAAATTTTGTTAATCAAGGAAGAAAGCAGGAGTCAGTTCCTGCTTCAAAGCTTTGCTTAAGCAAACAAAGTTTAAACAAATGGAACCTAAGCTAGCTTCCAATCGTAGCAAATAGAAAAGTTGGTAGGCTGTCTTAGAGCAGCTTTACAAGTGCAGAATTCTGCAGTCTATTCATTAGAGAGAAGAGAATTGAATGCAAAATAGCCCTAGGTGTGGGTACCTTAGCAGAGTGAATCTGGAGCTTCTTTCTATCCATGAGAAATACATACAAGCACACCAAGAGATATTTCTTCTTTGCTTCTTGCTCTTTATTGAGCCTCATGCTTGCTACTTGGCCTCTTGATTACTATGTTTACTCATATTTTCATTTTCTGTAATGAGCTTAAAATCACCCTTGCAACCCCATCCACCAGTCATGCCGAATTTTGGTCCTATACTGGTGCTGTTTTTTATTGTTTAAATCAAGCATCTTCATTTTTCATGCTTGGAAAACATTTTACTGATGTCAAATTACCTATGATTATCTGCAGGTGACTCCAGAAGTACATTTCCAGAAAGATCTGGGCTTGGATAGTTTAGACAGCGTCGAGATTGTAATGGCTCTAGAAGAGGAGTTCAAGCTTGAAATTCCAGACAAGGAAGCTGATAAGATTGACTCTTGTAACCTTGCTATCGAGTACATTCATAACCATCCACTGGCCAGTTGATTTGAGCATCGGGTTTCTCTCCCTGTTTTTGGTGGAAAACAACGATATTCTGTTTTGTTTGTTTTACTTGTTCGGTGTTTGTATGGATTTGATCCTCGTGCTGGGGCTGCAAATAATCCAAGTCTGTTTGACAAGAGTAGCACTGGCAGAACAGATTTGACTTTATTATGCTTTTAGTCCAATTTTTTTTTCATCCTTAGGATGCTCAAGTTTCCTCATGCTTCTCCCGTTCATGGGTTCTATTGTGCAGTGCATTTTTCTTTTCGTGCCTATTTTTCACTTGCAAGGGACTTCGCTGATGCATGCCTCTTGTTTTCAAAATCAGCATGCTTTACTTTGTGCTTCCCCTATTTCTGTTGGTTTAAGTGTTGGTCTTAGTGTACTGTGTTCTCATGTTGCCGCTTTGGTAGCATGCCATTTCTATTCTTGTTTACGATTTCTAAGCTTCTTTCCCACTTCCATGTATGATTGGGTTGCTATCATTGGTCTTAGGGTACATGGTTTTTGAGATGAAATAGTTTGATGATACCGGTGCCATTGCTGTGCTGCGGTGTACTGTTGCAACTACTTTCATAAACTACAATTCCGGGCTTTTTTTCTGGGTTTGTTTGTCCCTCTTGTTGAAGGGGGAAGAAAGAATGTGCTGTGCCATTTCTATTGAATGCTTACTTCATAAGATCTTTTGTCATGAGTAAAGAATATCTCTGCCTTAAGATGCAGTGCGATTTCTATTGAATGCTTATTGCATAAGATCATTTGTCATGAGTAAAGGTGCTGCATCCTTGGACTATGAGGCCAAGTTTCTTGCCTCTTGCTCAATCCAGCAGCAAAGCGAGTTTCGTCAAAAAAATTTCCTCAAAAGGTAGTGTCGTTTTGCCTACTGATCACAAACTAAAGTCGGTGAACTATACCTTTATCATGATTTTCTTTTGAATTTGACCCCGTTGCGTTATATTAGAGAAATTCATTATTATAAGTTGGACTTGTCAGTGGTTTACATCCTATGCATGTTTGTTGGCGGTCTCTTCAATCTTTTTCTTATTGAGGATAAGTTTTTTAGCTGCATCATGACAATCATTGCATGTACAAATTTTTCTACTACATCTGCAAAATCATATTGGTGGACTGTGGTTCATCGAATTGCATTTCTTTCCACCTTCTTTTTCTTGACAACGCATATAATCGATGTGGCGCCGTGTTGAATGAGGCCTCCAACCGTCAGCCTGGGAAGAACCTGCCTTCACTGGCCATAGATGGTTTTATCCTGTGTTTCTTTTTAACTTTCCCAAGATTGCGTGATATTAATTAATTCAATTTCTTTGTAAATGTTGTTGCAGTGTCGGGCGAGGGCGACGAGTTTGAGAAATAGAAAAATGGGGAAAAATAAATAAAGTTGTCCTCAATTGGTAATTAAGGTCTGAAAACAATTGGTGGAGTGATTTGGGACTTGCTGGTCAGAAATTTTGTCCTCATTCATGTAATGAATAGCTAAGAAAATAAAAAGAAAGGACATGATGAATGTGCAAGGATATCTGATTAATTCAACCTAAACGGCATGCGTGAAAATATGGCTAAAAATAAGCAAATAGGTAATATAGATAAAATATATAAATAGTTAAAATAGGTCAAATACATAAAATAGAAAAATAAGTAAAATAGATAAATAGGTAAAATTGACAAAAAAAAGAGACAAAATTATTGAAATTGGCAAAAAAGATTTGAAATTGGGATTCGAATTGACACAATTTCAAATGTCGTGACTTTTTAGGCAAATAAAAATTAGCATGATAGATAATGTTAATATGAACGGTTCAAATCCAAGTGTGAACTGACATGATTTAAAAGTCATGATTCTTTTAAGACAATATTTTTTGGACAAAATCGATAAAAGTGGTCTGCATAGAAGTTTAAATCGACACAATTCAAACATCATGTTTTTTAGGATAAAATTGACACGATATCAAATTAATCGTTGCAAATTGCAACAAAGGTCTGAAAACAAGATTCGAACTAACACAGCTCAAGAATCATATTTTTAGACAAATTCGGCACAACATCAATCAATCGTTACAATAGTCAAAAAAGATTCAAAGATGAGATTCGAACTGATGTGACTTAAAAATCATGGTTTTTAGGAAATTGACAATAATATCAAAATCAATCATTATTCGATAAAAATGACCTAAACAACAAGATTCGAACTAACACAACTCAAAATTATACTTTTTTTTTAAAAAAAAATACAATATCAATTAATCGTTATAATAGGCAAAAGTGATCCCAAAACGGGGTTGCGGACCAACGCGACTCAATTATATAGGCAACAACAAACATGCACAGAATAATCAATTCCGCCTTGATATTTTTCAGGGGTTTTGACCTATTTTTGCAGGCTCGATACACCAAGTGTATCTTAAACACATCAGTCCAATAATCACACAACAACATTTCAATTAATTTATAATCACCAGTATAAATTAAATTTAATACAAATTAAATTAAAATGAGTAAAAATAAATTACTTGCTAAAAAATATGAGAAGCCGAATAAATTTTTTACTGTCAAATAGGGGTCAATTTTACTCTTTTCAATACCGATGTAGATCGATTATTCAGTCAATCGGGAAGCAGTAATGATTGTCTATTGTAGATTTGGACCCGATGTGAAGCGAGAAGACTGTTGGTGATCAGATTGGGGCTGGATAGCTAGCAGTGACTGCGGCTGGTTCGATGGAGGATTCGACTGGCAGTGGCAGCTGCTGGAGGTCGGACAGCTGCTGTTATTGGTGGAACGACGTTGGATGGTAGATGGAAGGAGATCCGAGGCAGCTAAAGGCTGCTGGGCGGAACTGCCATGGATGGAGGGTCGGTTGGAGGCTGTTGGTCGACGAAGGATGGCAGGGTAGCTGGATCAAGTGGAGGGGGACAGTGGGACAGCTACTGGGTGGAGGAGAACGGCTGGGCAGTTAGATCGGGTGGAGGAACGAAGGCTGGAGGGGCTATCGAACGGCGACTGAAGGGCTGGAAGTTTGAATCAACTCGGACGGCGTTGTGAAGGCTGCTAGATGGACGAAGACGCTGCAGGATGGACAGCAACAGCTGCTGCTCGACCGGACGCTGGAACGGATGGCAGGCTAGGCTGGAGGAGAGGCTGGCTGGTCAGGGAAATAGGGAGACGTGGCTAGAGGCGACCAGCTACTGCAGCTTCAGGTGGAGAGGATGACTGCTTCGACGATGGGCCTTGGCAACGGCAAATGGCGATGAGTGGCGACCGATCGGAATTCTAGAGGGAGAGAGAAACTGGTTGCCCTCTTGGAGAGAGAAAGTGGCTAAAGTTCAGTTTGGTTCCTTATCTTAAAAATATGTTTTATTTTGATTTTTTTTTTCAATCCCTTTTCTTCTTTCTCTCGTTTGTATTCCAATTTTTTTTAAAAAAAATTGGAAGCTAACATTAGGATACTCCTGTATACTTCCTTCAACTCCAAACCATCTATGCATGTAAAAGTGTTTTTTCCGTTGTCATATGGTGAGAGATATCATCATAACTATCACTAGCTTGTGTTTTAATCAAAATTATTAATTTTTTTTTAAAAACAACCATTTTAAGGACGTATTTTTTCCTATGCTGACATGGACAAGATATATTCATGAATACATTCGTTTCATCATTGAATCAAGTCTTCCAAGTTAAATAAATCGCTCAAAGTTAATTAAAACAAGAGATAAATGAAGCAAAAAGGAGAGAAGCCATTGAATTCTAAAGTCCAAACAAAGGAAATTAATTAGAAGTCACTCTTTCTTCAACTTTTGCTTAAAAACACATCATTAATTATGATTTTTTCCTCCTCTCCCCCCCCCCCCCCATTCTCCCCCTCTCCCACTCCCGCTCTCTCCCTCTCTCTTTCTTCATTCCCCTTCTCCCTTTCTCCCTCACTCTCTCCTTCTCTCTCCCTCTCCCTCTTTCTCTCCTCGTCTTGTTATTTTGTTAAATGTGATTGTTAATGGAGGAGGAAAAAAAAAAAAAAGAAGCCAAAACCAAACCTCAAAAGACAAAATAGATGTCGCGTCAACAACAGATGGCCAACAAAAAGAATATTGAATTAAACACCCGTTATAATCAAGAAACCAAACAAGAAAGACTAATTAAATAGGATTAATATTATTGATAAAACCTTAAGTAATTTGCAACTAGAAATTAAGCAAATCAATGGAGCATGTTGATGATCGAAAGTGCTATAGCAGACAACTGAAAAGTATCATTATTTCTTTTTGTTAATGGTGAAACTGTACCTTCTTTCTCCTTGAATCCATCTTCACAAGTTGTCGCGGCATCGATAACTGAACCCACTTCAATATTGGCATCCTTATAGTTCTTAGACTTGTAATCTATTATGGCCTGTTTAAGGGTAGGGATTGCATCAGAATAAAGATCGAGGCAATCATTTAAGCACGCCCTAACGAAGGGGTCCCATTTTTTGTTCTTCAAGAGCTGCTTAATGTAGTGCCTTGTGTTGGTCCCGTTGTATTTGGTTAACTTGATGGAGATCATGCCAAGTCCACGAAGATTAGCACAGTGGCTATCGTTAGCTGCTTGAAGAGAAGTTACACAGAAGTTGTAGCTAAGGTTTGGATCAATTTCTGCACATTTCTTGCAAGTTTCACGGATGAGGTTCTGAGCGATGATGGCATGGAAAGTACTGAAGAGAAAAGAGAGGAAGACGAGGAGGGAAAAATAAGAGAAGTTAGGCATCTTTTTCTTGCTGTGGAGAATAGGATCTTGTAATTGTGGTCCTCGGGGAGAATGATTTTCTTATCGTAGATGTAGGAGTTAATCTATATATATATATATATGTATATATATATAGGTATAGTTCGACAGTTTCTTAAAGGAGATCAAATGACATGTGAGCGAAGGATTTGGCAGTTCGTCACTTCAGAGTGTGAATGGGCACGTGTAAATTCTCGGATTGCTTTTTGTATATCAACATTGAGTTTTTTTTTTCAATTATATATAAGTTGATGACCATCCATTTTCGAATGATAATCGGTTTTAAAAATATATATATTCCTGCCGTACGTCTTTATAAAAGTTTAATTGAGGAACAAAATCCTGAACATCGATCTAAAAATAATAAGGAATCAACTTTTTATTAAGGATAGACGACATAGTGAGGGGGAAAAAATGATAATATAGTTTTTTCGAAGAATAAAGCGTGAAGATATATCAAAGAAAAATTTGGATTAGTTTTCCATAAACATCACTGCAGATGAATGCTTGTTTGGAAGACAAAGGTTCTGCAAGTAAAGACCAAGTCTGTTAACCTATATTCACACACAAATGCCTCACACGTGTAACAGAGTTGGCCCCATGGTTTTTGCACAGCTATCGAATTCCTTTCCGACTGGTATAGCTACCTTATTAGTTTCTACATTATTGTTAGGTGTTTAGAAAATCATGTTGATTTCAAATGACTAATTTTAATCTTCCAATAATTTAATTGTTTGCCAATAATTGTGAATGAGTTTGGAGCAAGTCAATGTTTGTCTGGTGATTTTTGGTCTGTTTAGACTCGTTTTTCAATTTCAATTCTCAATATGCAACTAAATACAAATAATTTCATGTTTCACTCAGAGGATTAGTCCGACCAAACACTCATCGTGCCTTAATTACCAATGAAACAGGAAAAAAAAATAATTGAAGCCTCCACTAGCCACGATTGTTGATAAGTGAATGCAGTGAATAGAAAGTCTGTTTGAAACTGCATATAAAAGAAGGAAAAACGTGGAGCATATAGTTGGGCGTTGCTTTAGGTTTTGGACAATATGGGCCTCGTCAAATTTTGTACCACCTTTGCTTAGAAGCGGCACGTACAACCACTGCTTTCCACATGTCGCTAGGGATGTTTTTTCTATCACAACTTTAACAGAAATTTCAAAAAAAAAAAAAGTTTGTTTTCAAGTTCCTAAGGGTTTTAATGGGTTCGATTACATAACTCGAACCAACAAGTGTATAGAGACCTCGTGTGAGTAACCCACGCATATTTAATAGAAAATATACCTTTTACTTTCAAATCACCATAGTACGTATTTCATAATGCAATATAACTATTTTTGTAAAAATACGTTTCAATTGAGTAGGAAAATACTTATAAAGGCAGCATAAATAGACATATTGTACGAACATATTAATTACCAAATAAAAACTAATTCTAGATAGTTTTTCTATTTTATTTTATAAACAGTTTTCCATGACTAGCCAAAACCTTTTTTTATTAGATTTTAGATATTCATTCATAACCAAATAGTTGCAATTAAAAAAAAAAAGCTTTGTTGTAATTTTTTTTCTTGTTCAAAGTCAATGGTAGATTTAAAAGTGGTCATACTCATATGTAAGATTGTAAATGGATGAGATCTTTATTCGAATTCGATCGAATCCGATATAATAAATGGATCTATTAAATTTTTCATCCGAGTCCGATTATAATTTAAATTCGTTTATTAAATTGATCAAATTCGATCTATATTGATATATTGATCCGATCCGCTAATAATCTAATCCAAAATTAGAAATATTATTTTTATGATAAATATAATATTTAAAAAAATTTAAATTTAAATATGAAAAATATATATAAATATGAAACTAGTTTGAAAAATTCAAATAACACATATCCTTTCATATTGATTACTATATTTTCAAAAATCACATATAATTTTTTTTTCTTAATTCAATTTTGTGATAAATTGACTTATATATCTTTTCAAGAGTTGGTGTTATTATTTTTTTGTCATCTTATTTCTGCTATAAAAAAATCACAAAAATGAAAATAAAAAGAGTAAGAAAAAGAGAAAAAAAAAAGACTAGAAGAAAAACCAATTGATTGGAATAAGGGCAAAATTGAAGAGAATAAAAAAGAGGATAGGTTAAAAAAAAAAAAACATCAAGGCAACTTGGAGAAGATTAGTGCAATTATAGTTCTTTTCCTAAATAAATTCGTAAAAAAAAAAAAAAAAAAATTCCTAATTCAATCATACTCGAGTATTTTGAGCATAATTTCATGTACATAAGTTCAATCCATGCTAGTCTTGTGGCAAATTAAAGCTAAAAGATAAGACTATAATTCATATATTTTTAAACTTAACATGTATCGACTTGCATCATAAAAACATTTCAATATAAGAGATAGAGTTATTAATAATTATCGTGTATTTTTGTTTCTAGAGATTGTGAAAACAATAACTTCTGCAAGTGATTGGCTCTCAAATTGAAACAAAAAAAGCTTATGGTATTTTATTCACTTTAACTCTTTAAATTCCTACTCTTTGTGTATTGACCATTTATTAAAAATATATGATAATATTAATAAATTTTATTTTCTTTTGTTTTTTTTACAAACAAATATCTATTATTCATTTTTATTTTATTTTATTGTACTTCCTATTTAGTTCAAAACAAGCTTTTATTAAAAAATTTTGATTTTGTGTTCTTAAATTGAGGCATTTTGAATTTTTTTAAATTAATAGATAAAATATTATCTTAATATATTTTATTATATAAATAATGATTAAAATATATTTTATATTCAAGTACTATATTAAAAATAATAAATATAATTTTTTATCAAAATTAAGTGATAAATTTAATAGAATTTCAAATATATTAGAATTCGAATTTACATTTTTAAAATTCAATTCGAATTAATAAAATTCGGTTCGATCCGATGTAGGCTTCAAATTTATATGGGTTGACACAGGTAAATGGACCTGGAAACTCATTTAGATTTATTAGATTCAATGGGAAAGGCATGACGTAATATCTCTAGGCTTTGGATGATAACATCAGGTCAATAGTGCCCCGTACCTTTTCTCCTCTTTCTTTTAAGTATGTTCCGATTCTTTTGGCATAATTTTCTTCCCTTTTTTCTCCTTTTCCTTTCCTGCTCACAAGTATGGATTATTTTTGGTAAAATAAAACCCAAATTACCATCATATAAGAGAAAAATAAATTCAAGGCAGTAGAACCAACACCAACACCCTAAACCTCTTTTATTTCTATTTTCTCCCTCCTCCCTCCCGACGTAGACTCAGTGACTCACCCAACTCGCCTTGATCGGGTGACGTTTTCGGTACCGGTGGAGTTTTTTATTAGATGAATTATAGGGGTTGCGTATCTGCCAAATTGGGCGAAATTGCCATCAATGGTCTTTAAATTTTGTTAGGGTTGACCCATGGTCCTAGACTAGATTTAAGATTTAATAGGCTTAATCCAAGAAGACTGGCCCATCTCTCATTTGTTTGGACTTCATGTAAAGAATGGCCCAAGATCTTCAGCCCAACATGTGTCTCTCTCTAGTCTCTATTATTACAAAACAAAAGCAATTAAAAAAATGCCTCCTCCTAAGTCCTATCCTAGGAAAATCCATAACAAACCCCAAACAAAACCCCTCACTGTCTCCTCAGCCCTCTCCTCGTCTGAAAACCAACGACTACGACAATGCAACAACATGGATAAGGAAATGAGGAAAAAAAAAAAAAAAACCATCACCGATTCACCAACAATGGCTAACTTGAGGACGGCAATGGACTCAGCATTCTGGGACCAACCCATTTCTTCCTCACAAACCCTAGAGGGTTGTGCCTTCTCCGTTCCAGGAGACCCATTTCCTCTTGAAGCCACTAGAGCCAGTAAAGATGATAGAATTCCACAACTCTCTCTTTTAAGAAATGGGTTCCCTCTAGGTATCATTCCCTCTTACTCGCCTACTTCAACCAAGGACCTTGGCTCTTTCTCTCTCCATTCTCACTTCCTCAAACTCACCACCTCTAACTAGTAAAATGATAGCAAAAAGTTACCTTCTTTTTGGCTTACTTCATCGCTAATAATTGGTGTGATTTTTTTTTATATTTTTTTTGCGTGCAGTTGGCTTGGATTAATTGGGCAATTTAGACTAAAGAAGCTGATTTCTTCTGTTAAAGGAGAATTTACTAATGCTGATGAATTTGAATGGCCTCCGTTTAAAGATGTAGCTAAGCATGTGATAGACAAGACACCTTATTCTCTTGGTTTATTCTCAAATTTCCTTGTCTTCTTCATCTTCTGTGTTGCTAAGCACAGAAAGGCATGGTGAGAAGAAGAGACCACGCTACAAGATGATGCTTTGGCATGAGGTATTTCGTTTATTATTTCATTCAATCTTCATACACTACAACAAAAATGAGTTTTAACGACGTATATTTAGCGACGGTCAACAAACCGTCGCTAAATACCTGAACTAGCAACAATTTTTCATACTTTAGCAACGGTCTAAAAAATAGTTACAAAAATTAACTTTTGCGATGGTTTTTAGCAACGGTCTACCAATCCGTTGCTAATTTTATAGGCTAACCATTTTAGCAACGGTTTAAACCGTTGCTAAAACCGTTGGTAAATGTTATTTAATATTTTTTTCAACAATTTTATAAAAAAAAACCTAAATAAAAAATATTTATTTAGCAACGGTCGCTGACCGTCGCTATTCCGTTACAAAAAGAAAATTTAGCAACGGTTTGGTGTTATTAAACCGTTGCCAAAATATTCATTTTAGCGACGATCGAGACCGTCGCTAAATCGTCGCCAAATCAACTCGGGAAACGGTTTAGCGACGGTCCAAGACCGTTGCTAGACCGTTGGTAATGTGATTTTATTATTTTAACGGTTGCAAAAATAACCGTTGCAAATATTAAATTAGCGACGATCACGGACCGTCGTTAAATAGTTGCTAAAAGTAACCGTTGGAGGGAAACGGTCAAATTAAATTTCGAATTTACTTTTAGCGACGGTCAAACTTTACCCTTCTATAAATAGCAATCGGTCGGAATCTGCCATTTTTAATTTTCTTCTCCTCTCTTCTTCTCCTCCCGTAGCGAGATCTCTCGCCTTTTTCGTCTCCAATCCTTTGACCTCTCTCCTCAAAGCTATTTTTTCCTTAAAATCTCCATATTTCTTTCCTCTTTTCCTCCTCCTTTCAAGTTTTCTCTCTTCCGTTGAAGTTGTCGTTTTTCGGCGATCATACTCCGACGAGGTTTTTTTTTCCGACGGTTTCTCCCACTCCTTCTCTTGGTGACGAGTCCACTTAAATCTAAACCATCCTTTCAATTATTAATTTTTTCAGTTATTTATTTATGTCAAATAATTAGATTTTATTTTAATTACTTATTATTGCTAGTTTAATTATTGAATTGTTTGTTTATTGCATGTGTTTTTTTAATTTGATTATTTGATTAAAATTTATTTTGTGTGTTATTTTAGTGTAAATTGTGAGAGTTAATTGAAATGTTTAATTGTTAATTGTTATGTTAATGTTGTTGTTAATTATTTATTAATTGAATATTATTATTAACTTTTTAATTTTGTGTTATTTTTTTTAAATTGTTGATTAAATTAATTTGAATGTTAATTGTTAATTTACTTATTTTAATTTATTGTTAAATTTTTTTGTTAGAAAATATAACTCGTTATATTTTATTTTATTTTGTTATTTAAATTGTTATTATTATTGTTATTAGTGTAGCTAATAATTGTTAATTTACTTAAGTAATTCACAATTTATTGAAAACATTATTAATTTTAGTAATTCTTATTTCATTAAGTTAAAGCGTTAGGTTAGTACAAAATAAATCAAAACAATTTTCTAAACTTATTTTTAAATAAATAAAAAATAAATTTATTAGAAATATTTGTAATTATAATTAGGAATTAAATAAATAATTAAGTTTTTATTTATAAACTTTTTTGAAATAAATTTTAAATAGATAAAAAATAAAGTTATTAGAAATATTTGTAATCGTTAGGAATTAAAAAAATAATTAATTTGTATTAAAAACAGTTTTTGAAATAAATTTTAAATAGATAAAAAATAAAGTTATTAGAAAAATTTGTAATTGTTAGGAATTAAATAAATAATTAATTTGTATTAAACAAAATTTCTGAAATAAATTTTTTTTAAATACAATTATAGGAAATATTTGTAATTGTTAGTAATTAAATAAATAATTAAGTTGTATTTAAAAAATTTTCTTAAATAAATTTTAAAAAGTTAAAAAATAAAATTATAGGAAATATTTGTAATTGTTAGTAATTAAATAAATAATTAAGTTTTATTTAAAAAAATTTCTTAAAAAAATTTTAAATAGATAAAAAATAAAATTATAAGAAATATTTGTAATTGTTAGTAATTAAATAAATAATTAAGTTGTATTTAAAAAATTTTCTTAAAAAAATTTTAAAAAGATAAAAAATAAATTTATAGGAAATATTTGTAATCGTCAGTAATTAAATAAATAATTAAGTTGTATTTAAAAATTTTTCTTAAAAATTTTTTAAATAGATAAAAAATAAAATTATAGGAAATATTTGTAAATATTAGTAATTAAATAAATAATTAAGTTGTATTTAAAAAATTTTCTGAAATAAATTTTAAAAAGATAAAAAATAAAATTATAGGAAATATTTGTAATTGTTAGTAATTAAATAAATAATTAAGTTGTATTTATAAAATTTTCGTAAAAAAATTTTCAATAGATAAAAAATAAAATTATAGGAAATATTTGTAATTGTTAGTAATTAAATAAATAATTAAGTTGTATTTAAAAAATTTTATGAAATAAATTTTAAGTAGATAAAAAATAAAATTATAGGAAATATTTGTAATTGTTAGTAATTAAATAAATAATTAAGTTGTATTTAAAACATTTTCTTAAATAAATTTTAAATAGATAAAAAATAAAATTATAGGAAGTATTTGTAATTGTTAGTAATTAAATAAATAATTAAGTTGTATTTAAAAAATTTTCTTAAAAAAATTTTAAATAGATAGAAAATAAAATTATAGGAAATATTTGTAATTTTTAGTAATTAAATAAATAATTAAGTTGTATTTAAGAAATTTTCTTAAAAAAATTTTAAATAGATAAAAAATAAAATTATTGGAAATATTTGTAATTGTTAGTAATTAAATAAATAATTAAGTTGGATTTAAAAAATTTTCTTAAATAAATTTTAAAAAGATAAAAAATAAAATTATAGGAAATATTTGTAATTGTTAGTAATTAAATAAACAATTAAGTTGTGTTTAAAAATTTTTCTTAAATAAATTTTAAAAAGATAGAAAATAAAATTATAGGAAATATTTGTAGTTGTTAGTAATTAAATAAATAATTAAGTTGTATTTAAAAAATTTTCTTAAAATAATTTTAAAAAGATAAAAAATAAAATTATAGAAAATATTTATAATTGTTAGTAATTAAATAAATAATTAAGTGTATTTAACATTTTTTTCTAAACTTAGGTTGTTTATATATTTAGAAAATAACTTGTGTGTAACAAAAAAAAAAATTTTAGATTTAGTAATAAAAGTAATTTAAGTAATTACATAAACAATTAATACAATTACTTTATAACTATTTTGTTTAAAATGAATTTGGATCGCTCTTGGATTGACTTTAGATTAACTGGTGGATTATTAAATGAGCGTTTTGTAGAAGGGGTTAATGAATTTATTAACTTTGCGGTTAGTCATCCACAAGTGCATGGATGGAAATAAGATACAATGTCAATGTAAACAAAAAAAAATGTCAAAATGGTAGTTATAAAAACCCCGATACCGTTAAGTATCATTTGCTTAGATATGGGTTTGTGTCCGGGTATTATGTGTGGAGACGTCATAGAGAGAATGATTTAGCAATTAATGCCAATTCGTTTAATAATGTTGAACAAGAACAAATATGTGATGATCGTCAAGTTAATCGATACCACACAATGGTGATGGATGCAGTTGGTCCATCTTTTAATCCGTCTAACACGGACGAAGACCCAAACCCTTCGCACAAGCATTTTATGATTTATTAGATGCATCGAATAGAGAAATATGGATCGGGTCGAAAACCATTCGCAGTTATCCGCAATGTCTCGTTTGTTGCATCTCAAGTCCGAGCATCATTTTTCGGAGAAGTGTTACGACGATTTATGTTAACTTATGAAAGAGTTGATGCCTCCCGATAACGGTATGCCGGAAGACTTTTATAGTATAAAAAAAATGATAGAAATGATGGGTTTGCCCGTTGAAAAGATCCACTGTTGCATTAGTGGTTGCATGATTTATCGGGGTCGGGACAGCCATAGAATCTCTTGTAAAATATGTGATCATCCTCGATATCGAAATCTTACACGGGTTTCGATTAGACAAACATTTGTCCCCTATAAAAAAATGTATTATTTTTCGATAACCCCACGATTACAAAGGATGTATGCATCAAATGCCACCGCTAATGATATGACATGGCATGCGCAACATGTGTGTGAGCCCAACGTCATGCGTCATTGTTCGGACTCCTTCGCATGGCAACATTTTGACCAAACACATCCTTCTTTTGCATCAAAAATTAGGAATGTTAGATTAGGTGTTTGCACCGATGGGTTTCAACCGTTTGGTAAGTCCGGACAACAATATTCTTCGTGGCCTCGTCATTGTAACGCCATACAATTTGCCACCATGGAAATGTATGAAAGAAGAATATATATTCTTAATCGTTATTGTCCCCGGTCTTAAGAACCCTAAAATCAATTTAGACGTATACTTACAACCATTAATTAAAGAATTGATAGAATTATGGGAAGTAGGTGCTCTTACTTATGATGTGTCACGTAAAGATAATTTTCAAATGAGAGCCGTCGTCATGTGGACAATTAGTGACTTTTCCGTATATTCAATGTTATCTCGGTTGGAGTACTGCGGGTAAGACAAGCATGTCCGTATTGTATAGAAAATTCGATGCTTTCACCCTTCGAAACGGGAGGAAAACTTCATGGTTTGATTGCCATCGAAAGTTTCTATCACAACACCATCCGTTCGGGCGAAATAGGATTGCGTTCAAGCGAAATTCAGCTTGTTACGTACATTGCTCCACCGATAAAGTCCGGAATTGAAAATTTGCAAGAATTAAACAATCGGGGGTTCATTGAAAGTAACGGAAGAGGGATCCGATGAGTATAATAATAATATTTCTAAATATTATGGTTGAAAAAAGCGTAGTATATTTTGGGACCTACCTTATTGGAGTTCTAATCTAATACGTCATAATTTGGATGTCA